GTAGGGAACACCTGAAGCAATTTTCTGAGTTGGAAACAAATGCTACTTTCTAGATACTGTGATTTTTAGTGACTTGCTTCTATCTGTGTGGTTTACTGTCAGTATGCTTTGTAGTGCTCTGAGTTTGGAGCTGTGAGCACTGATGAAGACATCTGCTTTTTTGTATCCAGAGAAGACTGGTCTCCACAGCTAGAAATAATAGTACAGTATATTGTTTGTCTATGAAATGATGCTCTATAAACTCAAATATTGAATTATACTATGTTTCAATTATATTGAATTCCGCAAATATAGTTAGGTGCCTCTCTTCATTCAGTGTGTGGGAAAATGTGTTTGTGACATTTAAAAGATGGCTAGATAGATAGGTAAACCTATATTCAGAACAAACAACATGTCAGAAAAACATGACTAGCTTTTCAGGTTCTCCTCATCAGGCAAGATGTTACATGAAGCAGCTTGGGCAGCAGAGGGAAAACTAGGAATTGGAAAGTTAAACTGATGCTGTAGCCATGAGATCAGGTTATAGACTACCGGTAAATTCTAAGATGGAGATTGCTGGCTGAATAGACCCTTCCCAAGTTCTGCAGATACTGGCTTACATAGGATTCTAGGATGGAGAAGCAAGTGCTGAGTTATTTAAGCAAAACTTTAATTGATGAGGACCATAGCTTAGTGGTAGAACAACGGCTTTTCATGCAGAAGGTCTGAGTATCGATCCCTGTCACTTCCAGGCAGGGTGGGAGAGAACCGTGCCTGAAATCCTGGAGAGAGGCTGTTTGTCAATGTCGCAATTCTGAGCTAGGTGGACCAACGATCTGATTCAGTGCAGTTCCTATGTCTTCAGCTCCCCAACTACGTGGGCACAGGATTACATCGCACGTGCCCTTAGCTTTGCGGAACTTCCAAATAATGCCTAGACATTTGCGCATTTAAAAGTGCAAGGGCTCCGTGAGTCTCCCTGCAAGGCTCCCTATCCCACCATGCACTTAAGGCGCAGATTTCTTGTGGCGCCGTCAGAGCAAAGGACTTCTGTTTACGTCTTCAGAGAGGGCAGTTTCGATTTCTTTGACGGGACCAACGAGGCCTCCGTCCGTTGGACCCGCAAACGAGCCCGCTAGAGCCCCAGAGGCTCCTGGGAAATGTAGTCTATCGCGCCCGCCCGCCCTCCGAAGAGAGGGCCAGCGGAGACTACAAGTCCCAGCGTGCGCCAGGCTCGCGTTCATGGAAGGCGGCTTCTCCTCCGCAGCCCAGGCCAGCTGCTTGGTGTGGGGTTAGCGGGGGGCTGCGGGACGGGAGCCGCGCTCGCCTCACCCGGAGCTCCGGACCCGGCTGCCAGGGGAGGCCGCTACACCCCGGGGCGCCCTGCGGAAGCTTCGGTGGCCGGTGGGTCGAAGCGGGCGAGGGAGCTGCTGGAGGGGGGCTTCGGGCCCGCAGGGACGGGGAGGAAGGGGGAGCAGCCGCGGCGTCTCCGTTCTGTCGCCGCCTCCCGGGCCTCCCTCTCACGGAGCAGGGGGGAGGAAGCAGCCCGAGCCTGGACCGCCGCTGGTTTCAGGGGAGTGGATTGGGGGGGGGGGCAGCACCGGGCGCAGTTCCTTAGCGGATCCCGCTCCCTCCTCCTCATTGACTTCCTAGCGCTGAGCGGCCTGGGAATTCGCAGAAGCCGAAAAGTATCATTATTGTGTTGTTGTTGTTATTTTTTAAAAGAGCATTCGGACCTGTCACACCCAAGATCGGGTGTAGGCACGTTTCGGTCCGACGACTTGATTCGCCAAGGTCTGGGACACCCCAGCATCGAGAGAGGCGCCGACCTCGGGGGCTCTCGTGTGGGGTTTGGCGACGACGTCTCGAGGGGTGTCTGAGCCCACAGAAAGCAGACAGAGCAGACAGGAGAGGATTACGTATATTCACATCCCACCTTCCCTCCAAGGTGGCGTACATGGTTCTCCCCCGCTTCACCCTCACAGCCACCTTGTGAGGGAGGTGAGGCTGAGAGAAAGTGAGTGAGTGGGCCGAGGTGACCCGGTGGGGACCTGTCCTCGCTGCGCATTCGCTTGGCGCAATCGGCACAAGGGCCCAAAGCCAGAGTCCAAGGCAGGTGGAGGCTGTTGCTGTCCTTTCCCTTTCCTCTGCCCGGTGATAACTGCAGAGGCGTGTGTGAGTCAGTTGCCCTGCCTCCTCAGCCTGGACATTGTCACTGCCTCTGCTCCTGGATCTGTAATGGTGGTGGGAGAGCCTGTGCATCTGGGGAAAGAAAGATTGCTCTTTATCAAGGGCAAGATGGATGTCTTTCCTCCGTGAGGAGTTGCTTCTCACCTAGACAGCCAGAATCTGCATGCACAGAGCTATAGAACTCTAATTAGAACTGTAAATGTTAAGAGCTTACAGTTTGCTTTCACTTCCTCCCTCCTGTTCCTTTTTCCTTGTGTGTCCATGCCTTTTTGAGATTATGAGCCTGAGGGCAGGGTCTGTTTTGGCACTGATTTGTGTAAGCTACTCCTAAGAGCCTTTTTGGCCAAAGGCTGGGGTATAAATGCTTTAAGTAAATAATAAATAACACTAATGTCTGCTCTGGGCTGTACTGCCCAAGGGGGGGGGGGTAACCAGGTGGAACATTTCCCCCTATTTATAGCTTACATGTTTTAAAGCTTTTTTTGTAGCCCACTCTTGTCAGTAAAGGCTTCCAAAGCAGCATACAGAAATAGATATTGAGATAGTTTCTGCCCCCAGGCATGCAATTTAAAAGGGACACAGTGCACAAGTGAAAAGGGATGGGGAGGAAGAAAGAAAGAAACATGATCAGACATTAATATTTTTTTTTTACAGTTCTTGTAATTGTGAGCTAGACTGAAAATAGTTTATATAATCTACTCTAGTGGAATGGCTGCTGCAAAGTGACGGTTTGGAGGGCAGCTAGCCTCTCAGCAGAGATCATGGAAGAGCCCTGTTTCTCTTCTCTCCCTCTCCTCCACACAGAGAAAGCTAGCATATCAAGGAAAAGTACCTTAAGGTAGTGTCTCCCCTGACCTGGCAGCTTTTGGTAGATGGGGAATATGAAAGCATATTCAATAAATAAACAAGCCTGACAACACAGAAAACTAGCTTGTCAGCTAGTGTGGTTTAGTGGTTGAGGTGTCAGACCAGGAATGGAGAGACCTGGGTTCAGTCCCTCACTTAGCCACGAAACTCACTTGGTAGTGTTGAGCCCGTTGCCATCTCTTATCCCTGATGTCAGTTGCACAGGCATTATGAGGATAAAATGGTGATGGTGGGGAGCTATGTGTTTGTTCCACTTCCTTTTCAGGAAATATGGCATATAAATGTAATAAATTGTGTTCTTAGTGGGGTCTTCACTCTGACCTAATTTTCAGTGTGTAGATTTTTATTTTATTTTTTGCATGGCAGAGGGTTCAGTGATACTAGGTATCCTCTCACTCGCATTTCTGAAGTAGTACATTCCAGCACAGGTTTACCACAGCAGCGAGAAGTGGAATTCTATCAATCAGCATTTACTTGTTTTCTTTGATCAAATTTCCCTTTTGTGGGATGTATGAGGGCTAAGGTTATGTTCTAAAATGCTAAATCACCCCCCTCCAAAAAATAACCCGTGTAAATGTCCTATGCTGGTAAGCAGCTAAGCACACCTACGCAGCCTTCTTGAACGACATGAGGTAGAAAGCAGTGGATGTTCCTCCTCAGAGATAAACATCATGCAGGCATGGTGCTTTTGTGTGTGTGATTGTGACTATGACAGTGTACAAGTGAGAAAGAAGGGAAGCAGAAATTCAGTGTGGTTGGAAAACATGCTGGGGTCTTAGGATAACTTGCGGATATACTCAAAAACATAATGCATTTAGCAGCCCTTAAGAGGAGACGAGACAAGGAAATGAAAGGAGAACACACAATATCTCTCTCCCCCCCCCACCTTCTGCTTCTTAATTGCTAGATCTCCCTGTGGTCTTGTTCTCACTAAAGTTGTAAACCATTTCAGATTGCAGTTGGAAGCTCACCTGACAAAATGGTTCTCTGCACAAACACATTGCCTGCATGTAATTTGTGTGCAAGGAGAACCATTTTGTCATGTGAGCCCCTACCTGATAAATATTTTGTCTGGTTTAACAACCTACTCTGATCAAAAGATTATCTGTTTTCTCCTAGAAGATGTTTACCCATATGTAGTCTATATATAGAACAGTTCTGTATGTTTTGGTTGCAAGAGAACTCCAAACAGAAAGAACCAGTGTAGGTTCTGTGAGGTTTAAAAGTGTGCTCAGTTCAGTTTTAAATGAGGTTTTATTCTGTTGTCTCAAAAAAATTATATATTGTATTACTTACTGTTTATATATTGGAAAATTTTGGTTTGCATTTTAAATAGCTACTACAATAAATTTGTTGCTGATGATGTGCGGATTGCTTGCATATAGAAAACTAGCCTGCCATGGAAAAGGTTAGGCTAGGATCCTTCCCTCTGATACTTACTTTTCTATGTTGGATTTTTATTTAATTTTTTGTATAAAGGAACATAAAGTTAGTTGCCACCTGATGTAAAATCCAGGCATATGTTTTTCACTTTAGTGTGAAATTGCAGCCTATATTATTACCGCCTTGTGGTTTGTCAAAATATTAAATTAGAAAATATTTCATTTATGTAATTGGATGTTTATTTTTACAGGGTGTATTGCTAAAAACACCACCCCAACCCAGCAACGAAACAGATCTTGGCAATTCTGCTTTGGCCTTACATCACCTATCTGAAATGGAGTACAGGACTCAGCTGTTGAATCCTGAGTGACAGGATCCTTTAATCAAAGATGGAGAAAAAACGCAGAAAGAAATGAGCCTGTTTACTAGGCTTCACTGGTAAAGACCATGAAGGCAAGACTTCTGCTTCTCTTGGACAAAACCTTAAGACTATCCACTTAAAAAGCACTTAAAAAGGCACCGTTTTCTGAAACCAAAAAGGAAAGAGGGAACTGATTCATGGAAAAACAACATGTAACTTGATGCATGGAATTTTGGGGATGAAACCATATTCTTTTATGACCATGAGGCTTACACACACCTGGTTGTTCCTGACTGCGATCCTTCTCTGCGGCAAACAACATCTGGGGACCAAGCTAGGGAATTCTTCTCATGAGAGCCACCTGTGTTCCGAATGCTCCCGTCTTACACTGAAAGTGGAATTCTCTTCGACGGTAGTGGAACATGGTAATGAGACTTAACATTTATGCCAGTTTTAATTGTAGTCCTTGGGAAATGCCAAAATTATTTTTCTTCGGTTTTTTTTAATAAAAACAATAGTTCAGGGGAAGGATGGCTGTCTGGACAGGCCCTCCTATCTTCTGTGAATTTACCCAACCCCAATCCCTCTGCTCAAATTCGGTGTTATGTGCCATGATCTGTGCTACGTCACCACAGGCTAAATTGAAACCAGGGGTCTTCCTTTTGAGAACCTCATTACTAAATCCTAGTTATTGTCATGCCTTGGTATTATACTTGGTTATGCAAGCTGGGATATTTTAGCTTGTTTTTGTAAAGTGGGACAAAGGGTTATAACACAGCTTTCTCTGCAAATGCCATGCTTGCAACTGCTGATTCAGATGTCTTTTATAATGTGTGGTGGTCTCTTTGCAGAGTATATTGTGGCTTTCAATGGTTACTTCTCAGCCCAAGCAAGAAGCAAATTTATTTCAAGAGCTCTGAAAAGCAGTGACATAGAGAACTGGAGGATTGTACCCCGTAACAACCCAGCCAGTGACTACCCCAGTGATTTTGAGGTGATCCAAATCAACGAGAAACAGAGAGATGGAGTGCAGACACTTGAAGATCATCCCAATATCAAACGAGTTACCCCCCAAAGAAAAGTATTTCGCTCGCTCAAGTACACTGAAAGTAAGTAGGCTCAGTCATTCTTCCAGTGCAGTGGCAGGAGATCATTGTATATACTTAAATCTCCTTATTATTCTGCTGCTTCGACAATGTGATTAGTTTTTTAAACATTTCAACTCTCCAATATCTAGCTGATCCAGCATTTCCCTGCAATGAAACCAGATGGACACAGAAATGGCAGTCGTCTCGTCCTCTGAGAAGGGCAAGTTTGTCGTTGGGTTCTGGATTTTGGCACGCAACAGGCAGGCACTCAAGTAGGCGTTTGCTGAGAGCCATACCCCGACAAGTCGCTCAAACGCTTCAGGCGGACGTTCTCTGGCAAATGGGTTTTACAGGTATTCTTAGATTCATGGAAACTTGTACCCTTGATCACAGAAAGAATAAGGCTGCTCACTTGAGAACATCAGTGTGCAGCTCATTTTTCTGACATGGTCCTTTTGTTGTGGGAATGACTAGCAAGTACATTCCTATGAGCAGAAAATATACCCTTGCAAGTAGTCTTCCAGAGGATCTGTATCCCTTAATAAGTTAGCACATTCATACCCCTGACTTGAACTGGTCCAGTAGTCATTGCCTCTTTCCAGGGAGCCCTAGGAACTGCAGCTCTCAGAAGGCCAAGGTTAGGGGTTTGAAGCATCCTCCCCAAATTGCAGTTGTGAAATAATATCTTTTGTGTTATTTCTCATTAGCCAACTTGAATTCCTTGGAAAGCAGATGATATGGAAGTTTTAAAAATAATAAATACATTCTTTGTGGAAACCATGATAATATAAAATGGATATAAGCTTTTTAATGTATGTCTAGATCCCTGTAGGCTAGTTCTTGTGACCTTTCCTTTGGGAATATTTTTATCTTTGACAAAGCTAATTATTCAAGCTGTAATACATACCTCAGAAAGCAAAGTCAAAATAGTGCATAAGATTGTATTTGCCATTGCATCACATTTGAGTGGCTTCTCTGCATAAATATTGATAATCTTTTCCAGAATGCTAATACTCAAGTGGGTGGGGGAAAGGATATTTTTTATTTTTACAATGTAAAGCGATAAAAACCCTTTAAATTTGGCCCTGCTGAAGTGTTCTTAGTACATTATTTAGGCTCAATGAGAATATGTAGCAAGCTTTGTATGACTTGCTAGCTGTTAGGAAGAGAAAACATTTTACTAAGCATTGGATAAGATTTATGGACCTCTTAGTATCCATTTGCATTCAGGAATATGTTCTTTAGATTACAAAAGAAACGTCTCTTGCTCATCTGTAATTTTATAAATCTTTATAAATCTGCTTCTGTGTAAATAGGTGCTGGTGTAAAAGTGGCTGTCTTTGACACTGGACTTAGCGAGAAACATCCTCACTTCAAAAATGTAAAAGAGAGAACAAACTGGACTAATGAGAGAACCTTGGATGATGGTGAATTTCATTATTTCATTACTAGGGTTTGTTTCACACAAAATGAATTGTCATTTGTGTGCTACAGTGCTATATAGGTAAGGCTAGAATGCAATGTCCCTTAACGTCAGGGAGGGAGAACCTCCAGATGTTGTTGGACTACAATTCCCAAGAGCACAACCCAGTGCTCCAACAAACATGGCGGACCACATGTTTCTCACTCCTACTTTAGGGCTCTCGGGGTTCCTTCAGTGCAGCTTGTGATTAGTACTGGTGTTTTTAATTCGATTCTGCATTGTTACTTTTATTTTGCTATACAAGTGGTTTCTGAAGACAGGTCTGTGTGTCTGTACATTTATTAAACATTTATTTGTAAAACCCTAAGTCATTTTCCCCCCATCAAAGTGGGCCTTGGAGGCATGTGATCTAGTACATTATTATAATTCAAGAAACATTTAAACCCGACCATTACAAATGCAGCACATGGTAAAAATTGTGAATTTACTCCAGCTCAACATCACTTCATGTGGCACGTGCACCTCTGTCCTCTGCCAGTACTTCTGCAACTTTCCCTTAATGTCGGTTGAATTAAGTCCCAAGTGCATCTAGGAGCATGATATAAATGTTTACTTGGAGGTGCCATTTAAACATGCCATTTCTAAATCAGCAACCCAGATCTAGAGGCTGTTTTGTACATGTGGGGGCATGTACATATGTACATATCATTCCTGTGCATAAAATGGCTCACAGCCATATTGGGGAGTGTTCTGCAAACTCATCCCCATTACAGGAATCAGAGTGCTTATGAAACCATGGATTGGGATCACAATATTCTAGACGGGTTAATCTTATTGTATACAGAAAGGGTTTCCTTGTCACATTTAAAATTGTACAGCTGGTCATTGCATATTTATTATTCATTGTGGCATCCGTGTATGAAGTGCTTTACAGGGCAACATGAGAAGCATCCCTTCTCTGAGGAACTTTATAATCTAACTACAGTGGTGCCTCGCAAGACGAAAAGAATCCGTTCCGCGAGTCTCTTCGTCTTGCGGTTTTTTCGTCTTGCGAAGCAAGCCCATTAGCGGTTTAGCGGATTAGCGCTATTAGCGGCTTAGCGGGCTTAGCGGATCAGCTGATAAGTGGCTTAGTGGCTTAACGGATCAGCTGTTAAGCGGCTTAGCGGATCAGCTGATAAGTGGCTTAGCGATCAGCTGTTAAGCGGCTTAGCGGATCAGCTGATAAGCGGCTTAGCGGATCAGCTGATAAGCGGCTTAGCGGCTTGGGAAAAAGGGGGGGAGGGGAAAAACCCCCGCAGGAACTCGCAAGACATTTTCGTCTTGCGAAGCAAGCCCATAGGAAATTCGTTTTGCGAAGCACCTCCAAAACGGAAAACCCTTTTGTCTAGCGGGTTTTCCGTCTTGCGAGGCATTCGTCTTGCGGGGCACCACTGTATAAGGGAGGAGAGACTGCAAAAGCACATAAGAAGAAGCCTGCTGGATCAGGCCAAAGCCCCATCTAATCCAACATCCTATTCTCCCAAAGGCCAACTGCTAATAGGACCTGAGTACAATGGCACTCACTTGTGATTCTCAGCAACGTATTCAGGGGCATACTGTCTCCTGACAGCAAGGTAGAACATACCCATCCTGTCTAGTAACCACTGAATTTGTGGTTTTCCTCCATGAATTTCCTCCATGAATTTGTCCAGTCTTTTGAAGAAGGAGAGGCTGTGTTAAAAAGGAATCGCTGAGGAAATGCAGCTGAAATATCTGTAAAAGCGATGTAGTGTTTTGAGCTTTATTTTAAAGCATTGTTTATGTTCAACAGGTCTGGGTCATGGGACTTTTGTAGCGGGTGTGATTGCTAGCATGAGAGAATGCCAGGGATTTGCTCCAGACTCAGAACTGCACATATTTAGAGTCTTCACTAACAACCAGGTATGCTGCCTCAGATAACATCAATGCAAGTTTTATAAGATAAGATGCTACATTATGCATGCTGTTCAGTTTGGTAACTACTGAAGACTTTCAATCTAGAGCATTCAGATTAACATATTTTGAAATCGCCTACAGCAATTCTCAGATAAGGTTTTGTTTTTATTATGAAATTGTAACTTGAGTTGTGTTTTAAAAACAAAATTGTGGCTTTATAAAGTAATAATTGAGAATGCTAAGAGAGATGTGACATTTTTGGGGTTGTGAAGTGTGTGGGGGATGGAACTCTGTTGTTAAAAATGTTTTTGTTTCTTACAGTGCTTGGTGTTTTAAACGAGTTTCCCTCCTAAATAGGTCTCGTACACATCTTGGTTTCTGGATGCCTTTAACTATGCGATCTTGAAGAAGATAGATGTATTAAACCTTAGCATTGGAGGTCCCGACTTCATGGATCATCCCTTTGTTGACAAGGTACGTGTGAAGTGGAGGAAAGGCCGGGGTAGCATCCGATTGTGGCTTTTGTAAATTTATCCTGCACCTTTGAAGCATTCGGGTTAATTTTGTAGTGCCTTTACAAGTATTACTGTACAGTAATACCTCTGCGAATGTCCGCCTCGTCTAGCGTCCATTCCAGTGAACGTCCGCAGCAAACCCAGAAGTGCTGGAACGGGTTACTTCTGGGTTTGCAGCTCGTGCAGAAACACAAACCGCTCCGTGCGCAGACATGGCACTTTGCCTTGCATTCTTTTCGGCTAGCGGCCGGGGCTCCGGAACGGATCCCAGACACAAAACAAGATACGACTGTATAAGTGTTGCAAAATAATTCCGAGTAGCCCTTCTGCAAATGGAAGGGCTTCTACTATTCACATAAAAAAGCTCCCCCTCCTTTGCTGTCCTAGAGGTTCACCCAAGCCCCTGAAACAGATTTTGGGTTGGAGGTAGGTTCAGGAGGCTGCTCAGAAAAGAAAAAAAGTGGCAGGAGCATCCCATGGGGTCTTAGGATGTACACTGTTATCTTTGCAGCCGTGCTTTCTCTAAGGAATATTCAAAATAGGTCGGTGTTCACATGATCAAATGCTCCTCCTCCAACCAACAGATCTTTCTGCAGTGTCACAGAGAAGTTTCTCCCATCCATATTTCTGTGTGGAAATACTAGGTTTTTTTTGAAGAATTACCCACCTTCAGTGGTGCTGCCTAAGTTGATTATGTCAGTGAGAACTGTGGCTTAAAGGCTGCTTGAGTTAGCACTAATAAATTTATATGTGGGCCTCAATGTGAAATTGGAACAGCAGGAATTTATTTCACATTTCCTCCAGGCAGCTTGTGTTACAATAGTGAGATTTTGGAAAGATTTAAATTTGGAAAGGATGTGGTTATTGACAGTGCTGTGCTCTTTTACAGCAATCTGGTATCCATTTGTTGAGTTCATTAATTCCAACTCAGTATCAATTTGTGTAGTTACTTTGAATTTTAGGTCACAAAATGGGTCTCTCCCTCTCCCCCCCCTCTCTCTGTAGGGGTGTCCAAGCAGGTACCACCTAGAGTAGTATGTTACTGATTGGTTTCTGAGACTCTCAGGGAGGGGGTTATCCGTTTGTAATTCTGGGTTGTAATGATTATGATATATCATCATCACTTGTTAGTATGTTTCAGCAATCTGAATTTCTTAATTTTCCAGGTATGGGAGCTGACAGCCAACAATGTAATCATGGTCTCTGCTATTGGAAATGATGGCCCTTTATATGGGTAAGTGCCAATGATGTGTTCTTTCAAAGTAACATCCACAGATAAAATAATACTTTTTCCCTTTAGAAAAAATGTAAAAAGATGGTTTTGTTTCTATGGCAACAGAGCTCATTCTGATGACAGGTACTTAGCAAGGCAGGTAAGGTTAACAAAGTGGCGTAACAAACATTTTATGATTGTATATTTTATTGTTGCAACCGATCCTAGGACCTTTTAGGAAAGGGTAGGTAGGAAATCTAATAAAATAAATAATATATGTTTTATAAGACCTTGTCCGACTCCTTGATTCTAAATCTTGGTTGAAATTGCTGCTCAGCTGTGAAGCTCACCAGGTGATCAAGGCCTGTTCTCTTATGTCTCTCTCTCATAAAATACCTGGGAGGATTAAGTAAAAGGGTGGGAAACAGAACTATGTAGATTTGCCCTCATCTTCTTGTACAAAGCTGAGATAGGGCTGTGATAAATAACAATTCAATACTAATTTCAGCACACTCAACAATCCTGCTGACCAGATGGATGTGATTGGAGTAGGCGGCATTGACTTTGAAGATAACATTGCTCGGTTCTCATCAAGGGGAATGACCACTTGGGTAAGCATCTTCAAACATGAGCAGCTTTTGGAAGCATGCAAGGCCTACCTGTTCGGTGCAGGGTTAAGACAGGAAAGGCTGTGGGAACTTACTCAATCTGGATTGGCGTTTACTTAGCTTTGCTAATTTTCCAGCCCTGCCTCCTCTTATTCCTTGACTTGCGTCTTTGGGATTGCCTATAAATTTAAATAAAGAAATTCGAATAAAAAAACAAAAAATCAGTATAATCAGAAAAATCAGAATAATGGTTAGGGCCCATTATTCGTAAGTAGGAAATTGTTCATAATTATTATGGGAAAGTTTTATATTGCAAAGATGCTGGGAGACACAGTGCATTGTGACTGAATAAATTTACTCATGATGATGTTGCACCAGCAGTAATGAATTGAGGGCATTTATGGTAATTTCAGTCCTCTAGTGCCAGAAGAATTAGAAACCCACTGTTTTTGCATCTTCATGTTTTAATTCAAAAATATAAAGTTGTTTATAAAAATGTTTGTATACATAGACCACATTGAACATAAAAATAAATTCAACATGTAGAATCTTTCTCTGTTAAGTTTTAAAATCATCTTGTTGATGATGCATATGATACATTAATACTACAATACCATCTCAAATCACCCCAAAGTTACCTTTTGATTCAGGAAGTAGACAGTTTTCCCTGCAACATTCAAACAATAGTTTTCAATTTAATAAAAAAATCTTGCTGTTGTCCTTTCTTTTCTGTTTTCTGATAGCAGCAGCAGTGAGTATGTGTGGTGGGCATATAGTGACAAATTAACAAGAAGCATCGGCAATCATCTCAGAATCTGAAAAATTGTGGCCAGTACTGAGTTTATAAAAGAACAGCAAGATTTTTGCCTATTGTGTTGGAGCAAGCTTTGCCAACCTGATGACCTCCAGGTGTTTTTAACTGTAGCTGTGCTGGCTGGGGTTGATGAGAGTTGCTGTGCAAAACATTTGGAGGATACCAAGTTGGCAAAAGCTGTATAAATAACAGATATTCTTTTGTTTTCCTCCCAAGGAACTGCCTGGAGGTTATGGCAGAGTCAAGCCTGACATCGTTACTTATGGCTCCGGAGTAAGAGGTTCTGGCATGAAGGGTGGATGCCGCTCTCTCTCTGGGACCAGTGTGGCCTCACCTGTGGTGGCAGGTGCTGTCACTCTGCTAGTAAGGTAAGTGCTCAGTGAGAATGCAAGCACCACAAAGGTTTACTTAAATAAAGATGAATTGGCTTAGCACAGGGATCAACAGCTTTTGGGGGCCTATGAGTACATAGGCAAACTGCTGTGGGCAGTACATGGAAGCATACCACAAGTTTTTCTGCTGGCTACCATAGGATGCTATTTCCACATACAATTTCAGTGGGGGGAGTGGGAACCCTGTGGGGATCAGGGAAGGCCTCTGTGTGCACATGTGTGCCTGTGGGTACCATGTTGGCTAGTCCTGGTTTAGGATCAGTAAGCCTCAATTAGCCATGAAAGGCATCTGCCCACCCCCCACCCCCAAAGCTGTTCTGGAAACACAGCATGCTCTGGGATTTCAGAGTAAGTGGAGTTTGCAAGCAAAGTGACTTGCTTGATGTTGCTGCGAGTTAGTGGCTGAAGGGAGATTTGAACTGAGGATATTATGGCTTCACAGGTTTCAAGTTCAAAGGATAGCTGTAGCTTTATCAGTTTTAAGAAATTGTTACAATCAATATAAAAGCGCTTCATTAGACTAATAGTTGTTTAATCAGTGTCCTACTTCAAGCAAGCTTATTGCATGAATTGATCACCCATTTCCTGCGTTGTCCTATGAATTTGGAATTGTTTTGTTAAAAAATTAACAGACTTGGTTGTTGCATTTAACATTCCTACCATCTTATATTCTTTCATAACAACATTTTAAAATTTGAAGTAGCTAAAAAAATCTGCTCTTTCTGCGACCTTCATTTTACTGAGAGAAGCTTTGATGCTTTAGGGGCAGTATTTCTTAGCCTATGAGTCACAGCCTGAAAGTAAGTTGCAAAGCTTGCACAAGTTGGCCGCAGACCACAAATAATTATCGCTGTTAATCCTTAACTGGTATAATGATACCTTTCCCAACTTTTTGTTTCATTGCTATATTAAAATGCTGTGTTTGTCACTTGTAACTAAGCATCTGAAAAGACTCAAGAACTGTTCTATGGTCCGGTGACAGCTTGCCACAAGGTGCTCATGCAGGGAGTTGTTTTCAGCAACTGTTAACTGCTTGCCTCTGACACACAGGCACCTGCACAACAGAGGCGAGCAGTAATAGTCACTCAAAACAATTCCCTGTACGAGCATCTTGTGGCAAACCATCACCGGATCCACCAGGGCTAGTTAATAGTTAAGCCAGAGGTGAGTTGGCATTTGCTTTGTCAAAATTTTGTCAACTGCTTTTCTGCTGAAGAAAAGTTAGAATGCATTCGAAAACCATTTGCAATGATGCCGTGAAGTTGTCCTTGAACTTATTAAACTGTCATGTGATTGGGTCCTCAAAAATAATTTGTTGGAAGTAAGGTTTTCTGAATGTTGGCTTCATGCTACCAAAATTACTCCATTATTATTGAGTATCCTGAACTTGATAATGAAGCAATGCCTGTGCTGCTGATGTTTGGTGGTACATATGTTTGTGAGATAGACTTTTCAGCAGTGACTGCTATGATGGCAAAATACAGAAGCAGGCTGCATTGTTAATAATTATCTGAGACTATGTGTTACTATCATTAAACATCACTTGTGGGTTGCCATACCAAAAGGTTGGGAACCATTGCTGTAGAGAACAAGATATCCAAATCTGGGTTTAAAAATTCTACATTTGTATTCAGTTGGATTTACTTCTGAGTAATATGCATAGGATTGGACTGTAGAACAAAATTGTCTGAGCCCTGGTAGAAGCTGTATTATGTATTTATATTTCTTCTAAAATTTGTATTTCAATTTTCTGTGCTAATGTGCAGTCCAATTCAATTGGTATTCTGTTAAAGGTAAGGGTAAAGGGACCCCTGACCATTAGGTCCAGTCGTGACCGACTCTGGGGTTGCAGCGCTCATCTCTCTTTATTGGCCGAGGGAGCCAGCATACAGCTTCCGGGTCATGTGGCCAGCATGACTAAGCCGCTTCTGTTGAACCAGAGCAGCACACAGAAATGCCGTTTACCTTCCCCGCCAGAGCGGTACCTATTTATCTACTTGCACTTCGACGTTCTTTCGAACTGCTAGGTTGGCAGGAGCAGGGACCGAGCAACAGGAGCTCACCCCATCACGGGGATTCAAACTGCTGACCTTCTGATCGGCAAGTCCTAGGCTCTGTGGTTTAACCCACAGTGCCACCCGCGTCCCATATTGTGTTAGCATTGGTGAATTATTCCTGGGGTAGTAAAGAAGACGGCAAAATTTTAAGTACTTCTTTTTGTGTATGTGTTTAAAAGAAGGTACTATTTACACCAATTTCTCCAGTGTTTACTTCAGTAAAATGTACTAGAAAGGGTTGCAGTAATAAAAGAAATTATTACAACAAGGCTGTGATTCATTTTTAACTTCAGCTTGACTTGATCGATGCCAGGACAATAGTATAACATTACAACTATTTCTCATTTTTAGCACAGTCCAGAAGCGTGAAATGGTGAATCCAGCTAGTATGAAACAGGCCCTTATTGCATCTGCACGACGACTTCCTGGGGTCAACATGTTTGAGCAAGGGCATGGCAAACTTGATCTTCTCAGAGCCTACCAGATTCTCAATAGTTATAAACCACAGGCCAGGTAAGACTGTATGCATGTTTTAATAACTCAAAGTAAACCTTTTTGTTTTGTTTTGTTATGTTATGAAATATATGTTGATCCAAGAATGCATTGGTGCAGCCAAGATAATTTAAACTGACTTCAGCTTTTTTCCATCTCTGAACTTCTTTTGTGATTAAGCGAAGGTTTTGCTATTTTATTTGTTTGTTAGCAATTTTAACCCACATCTCACTGAAAAGGCTTATCCAGGGATTTTTGTTTTTAAAAAACGTAGAGGCCATTAAAACAGTTCCTGCCCTCAGACTTACAATCAAAAACTCACAACACAAAAGAGAAAAAAAGTAATGGGAACGGAAGGGTTGTGGTGGTGGTAAATAATCACAGGCACCAATTCTTAAATAGTTCTTATAATGACCAGTTATTATGAAAGCAGTTTAGGGACGGGAGGAGCTTGATAGAGCTGGTCTTGCAGGAGAGCTGATGGGATGGCTCTGCTTCTCATCTCTTCACAGCTGCAACCTGCTGTAATAGCTGCTACCGAAAGCCTGATGGAGCTGGTTTCAGTAGATTACACTTGCCTAATTAGGTTTGCTTAAGGCAAACCTTAGTGATAAATAAAAATGCAAATTATTTATCTGTTTAACAAAATATATGTCCTGCTTGATTGTAAGAAAATCTCCAAGCAGTTTACAAAAAATATTTATTATCAAGTTTGTAAGACTGCAGGCAAGGCCTGTGATTTTTAACTGTTATAGAGTGTTTAGTACCTTGTCACTTTAAATACAAAACAGCAAAAGAATGAGCTAAGCTTGTGTATGGTTGAGGCTACCATATTCTCAACTGTGGTCAACAGCTGGAGGTGCATTTTGCTGTGCAAATTGACACCCTGGCAAGTGGTCCAGCATCATGATACAGTAACTTTGGGCTGGGGACCATTGCTGATGGTGATGCCTGCTAGGACTCACCACTGCTAGTGACACATGTTGAGGTCTCTGCCTTCAGGATTCCAGAGGCCACCATTGTAGCCACCATCTTAGTTTTCTCAAAACGAATGCCCTGGAAGTCCCATCATTCTGTATCATTGATAGACAAACATTGCATCAAACAGTAGTATTTGATAAGAGCAGGAAAAGGATGCATATGTGTTTTGGATAACACGTGATCGAGTGCTGGAAACACAGTTGAGTGTACAGTAAATGGGAGTGTGAACATGGTCTATGCCTTCTGCACCTAGTTCTGGCAAGTAGATCTTGGGGTTCTAGTAAAAAACAAAGTAGCCGCTGTCCACCCCTGTACTAAACAGTCTTCTCTATTTATTTATGCTTTAAAAAATGTGTACAGTGGTACCTTGGGTTACATATGCTTCAGGTTACAGACTCCGCTAACCCAGAAATATTACCTCGGGTTAAGAACTTTGCTTCAGGATGAGAACATAAATCGTGCTCCGGCGGCATGGCGGCAGCGGGAGGCCCCATTAGCTAAAGTGGTGCTTCAGGTTATTATTTTTTTTCAAAAATTTTATTGGTTTTTACAATATCAACGACAAACAAAAACATGAGACAAACAAAACATAACAAACATAAATCATAACCTTATTGAAAATAACAGTTATCTACTTTGTAGGACGACTTCCTCGTTTCCCTTTAGTTGAATTTCATTGCATATCCTTATAACGGTTTTCCAAATCCCAATTTTAATACCCTTCAAATTAAACATTAACATCCTTAAATCTTCTCCTTCTTGTATTAAACATATTATTTTATCAGTTAACATAAATACAATCCTAAGCCCATTAAGTATCTGGACGCTATTTCCTGTTATTTTAGTTTAACAAATTTAGCTAAATAATCATTGAATTTCTTCCATTCTTCGTGGTGTTCCTCCTCCGGTTAGATCGGCTAGCTCCATAAAATCCATCATCTTCATCTGCCGTTCTTCTACTGTTGGTAATTCTTGGGTTTTCCACTTTTTAGCTAACAAAATACGAGCCACAGTTGTGGCATACAAAAATAGATTCACATCTTTCTTGGGCAGTTCCGAACCTGTTATTCCGAGAAGAAAGGCCTCTGGTTTCTTTATAAATGTATATTTCAACATTTTTTTCAATTCATTATAAATCTTTTCCCAGAAGTCTTTCACCTTGGAGCAGGTCCACCACATATGAAAGAATGTTCCTTCCTTTTCTTTACATTTCCAACATGTATTATCACAATTATGATACATCTTTGCTAATTTTACAGGAGTCAAATATCATCTATACATCATTTTCATAATATTTTCCTTTAACAAAGTACATGCGGTGAACTTCACCCCCTTCTTCCACAATCTTTCCCAGTCCTCAAACATTATATTATGTCCTAAATCTCTAGCCCAATCTATCATCACCGATTTAACTTGTTCCTCTTTCGTATGCCACTCCAGCAAAAGCTTGTACATTTTAGATAAGTTTTTACCTTCAGTATCTAACAACTCCGTCTCCAACTTAGATTTTTCCAAGGCAAAACCATTTTTCTTATCCAGTTTATACAATTCGTTAATCTGGTGGTAATGTAGCCAATTTAGCTTATCTTTAATTTTCTCAAATGGTCTTAATTTATAACCTTCCTCTCAACCATTTGGTATCCATATTTAATTTTTTCTGGGCCTTTGCCTCCATTGGTGAAAGCCATCTGGGCGTCTTTCTTTCTAAAAGGTCTTTATATTTTATCCAAACATTATACAACGATTTCCTGATTATATGATTTTTAAATGCTTTATGGGCTTTTACTTTATCATACCACAAATATGCATGCCAACCAAACACATTATCAAATCCCTCCAAATCTAGTAGATCTGTATCTTCTAATTTCATCCATTCTTTAATCCAACAAAGTGCGGCAGCTTCAAAATAGATTTTTAAGTCTGGCAGAGAGAATTCCCCTCTTTCTTTAGAATCCATAAGTAATTTGTATTTAATTCTGAGTTTCCTCCCCTGCCAGATAAATCTAGAAAGAGCTTTTTGCCGTTCTTTAAAACATTTCACATTGTCTATAATTGGGAGGGCTTGAAACAAAAAAAGCATATTTGGCAGCACATTCATCTTAATCACAGAAATCCGGCCCATTAATGACAATTTTAAGTTAGACCATACCTCTAAATCTCTTTTAATTTCATTCCATATTTTCTCATAGTTATCCTTATACAGATTCAAAATTTTCCCAGACAGGTTCACCCCCAAATATTTAACTTTTTCCACAAAATCTAGGCCCGTTTTTTCTTGTAATATTTCCTTTCTTCATTATCCAGATTTTTCTCTATTACTTTGGTCTTGCTCTTGTTTAATTTAAATTCTGCTACCTGACCAAACTCATGTATTAGCTCCAGTGCTTTAACTGCACTGGAGTCTGGATCTTGTAATGTCAGAACCAAATAATCAGCAAAGGCTTTTAATTTGTATTGTTTTGAACCTACTGTAATACCTTTAACTTGTTCATCTTTTCTAATCATACTTAGCAAGACCTCCAGTACCGAGATAAACAGCAGAGGGGACAGTGGGCACCCTTGCCTGGTTCCCTTCTCAATTCTAATTTCCTCTGAAACCACATTATTTACAATAATTTTAGCTTTTTGTTCTTGATAGATTGCTTTAATACCATTTATAAAATCGTTGACCTATCCCCATACTCTCTAAGTTATGTAACATAAAGCTCCAAGAAACATTGTCGAAGGCTTTCTCAGCATCGATGAACATTAACATTGCTTTACAACTCTTTCTTGCTTCTAACTTTTCCAAAATATCCACAACATTTCTAATATTGTCTTTCATATGTCTTCCAGGCAGAAATCCTGCCTGGTCTTTATGAATATACTCAGATAAAACCTTTTTTAGCCTATTAGCCAGTATATTTGCAAAAATTTTATAATCCACATTAAGTAGGGAGATTGGTCTGTAGTTTTTAACGTTGGATCTATCCTGACCCTGTTTAGGAATCAGAGTAATGTACGCTTGTTTCCAGGTTTCAGGTGCTTCCCCCCCCCCCCCCGGTAAAATTGAATTAGATATTTCTACCAGAGGTTGTATAAGCCAATCTTTCAATGTCTTATAATATTTCGCTGATAGACCATCAGGTCCTGGTGTCTTGCCACGTTGCATTGAATTTATTGCATGTTCCACTTCCTGTCTTGTAATTAAGCCATTTAGTAGATTCTTTTTATCTTTCTGAATCCGTTGCAGTCCATTGTTCTTTATAAATTGCTCAATTTTGCCTAAATCTTCTTTTTCTTTTTTATACAGTTGCTTATAATATTTAAAAAAACAATTTCTAATGTCTGCAGGTTTCTCTACCGATTTTCCTTCTGTAACAATGTTTGTAATAGTACTTTGTTTTTGTCTCTTTTTTAATTGCCAGGCTAATAGTTTCCCACATTTATTTGCAGATTCAAAATTTCTTTGTCTCATCCTTCTTATCTTCCATTCAATTTCTTGGTTTACTAACTGTGAATATTGAACCTGTAAGGCTTTAATTTCTTTTTGGATCTGCAAATTCTTTGGGTTTCCTCTAAGCTTCTTCTCTTTGTCTTTCAGTTGTTCCATAATTTTGTCTTTTGTCTCATTCTGTGACTTTCTCCTAATTGCATTTTGTTGTATCAGAAATCCCCTCATTACCGCTTTGCTGGCCTCCCAAATCACCCTTATCTCCATTCCTTGAGTCATATTAAGTTCAAAATAATCCTTTAGGGTTTTTTGGGCCTTATTTACAATTGATGAATTTCTCAACAAATCGTCATTCATTTGCCATCTGAAGGAACCCTGAATAAACATTTTCAAGTCCATAGAAACTGCATTATGGTCCGAGCAGGTTTTAGGGCAAATTTCCGTTTTTGCCACTTTAGGAACCAAGTCTCTGGATATCCATATATAGACTATTCGCGAAAATACTTGGTTTGCATCTGAAAAAAAAGTGAAGTCTATTTCCGTTGGATTTCTAATCCTCCATATATCTGACAGATCAAATTTTTCAGTTCGATCAAAGAAAGTCTTCGGTAGTCTGCCAGAGTTCGTAACCTTTGATCTCTGGGTTCTGTCCATCAATGTAGATGCAACTCCATTCAAATCCCCCATCAAAATAATTTTATAATCCAAGTATTCCAGCAGACTTGCTTCCAGGTTCTTAAAAAATTCCGCTTTGCCATCATTAGGTGCATAGATTCCTAATACCAAAAATTTCTCGCCTTGTGCTGAAATTTCAACTGCGATATATCTTCCTTCCTCATCTTTGAAAGCAAATTTTGGATTCCATTTATCTTTGATGTAGAAAACCACTCCTCTTTTTTTGACTTTGTCAGAAGAAATAAATTCTTGGCCCAATCTTTTATTTATTAAAAATTTTTTGTGTAATCTTGTAATGTGGGTTTCCTGTAAACAAATTATGTCCAAATTTTGTTTCTCCAAAATATGATAGATTTCCCCCCTTTTTTGTGGCAGGTTCATGCCATGAACATTCCATGAATAAATTATCAACGCCATATTGTCTATTTACGAGGAGGTGCTTCATGTTAAGAACAGATTCAGGTTAAGTACGGACCTCTGGAACAAATTAAGTACTTAACCTGAGGCACCACTGTATTGCTATTATTTCCATGACTGTATTGATTCAAAATAATACGAGCATCTTTGACTCTGCCTGGTGTATTTACAATTTCAATTTTAGTTTTTAAAGCCTGGGATTTAATGGAGAAGATTAAAACACTGGTCTTTTAGGCTCACGGCGTGTTTATTTATTTACTGCATTTATGCATGTATTCATTTTTTCCTGACTGTTTAGTTTGAGTCCGAGCTACATCGACTTGACGGAATGCCCTTACATGTGGCCGTACTGCTCCCAACCTATCTACTATGGAGGCATGCCAACAATTGTGAACGTTACTATCCTTAACGGAATGGGAGTCACTGGAAGAATCGTAGACAAGGTAGACTTTGAAAGAGTTGAACCTTATTCTACAGAATGTTAGCTTCTCTTTCCTCCTGTAGATGAGATGATTTGAGAAGACCTGAACCTAAATATATGCATCCCATTGAAACTTAAGTCCATTCACCCTCATTCAATTTTATACAAGAAATTTCAAAATCTGCTGTTAGGATAACATGACAATTAATTTTTGAGAACAGTTAAGTGTTTGATGAATGCAGCAACATGGGGCTGTAACCAGCATTCTCTGTCTGCTGGCATAAAGCCTCTTGAGCTAGAAGACAGCTGAGTTTTTGTATTGCACAACAGAGGAATCAGTTATGCTGTTGCGCAACAGATTCCACAGTATATTGCACAACAAAGTTACCAGCAACCTGCTTGTGCATTCTTTAGCACAACAGCGTTCTAGCGCAGAACATTTTGCCATCATATATCCCTAAATGGCTTTAACTTTCTGCTAATTGGGTGCATGATTCCATGTTTTTATATTGTAAGCTTTCAGCATAAGCATTTTAAGGTTGTAGGGGACAGGAAGACCAGCAATCTGCCTGACTGTTGCATCCAGTTCTGATGGAGTGCTTCCACTACACTCTGGAAAGAACTCACACTGAAACTCACCTACAGGTGGTACCTAACACCAAGGAAACTAGCGCTAATACACCCAGGAACCTCACCAAAATGCACCTCCACAGGCACATACCTCCACATGTGGTGGGAGTGTCCCAAAATCCAACTATTCTGGACAACAGCCATACAAGAAATATGTAAAATAACTAAGCAAGTAATAGACATCACCCCAGAATTGGCCCTACTAAACATCTTCCAAGACAACAATGCCCATTTACACCACAAAGAACTCATAACCCACCTGCTCTCAGCAGCCAGAAACACCATAACCAGACACTGGAGAGACCTGTCAGGAGTAAGCATGGACCAATGGTCCCAAATAGTATGGGAAACAGCCCTACTAGAAAAATTAACTAATAAACTGAAACTGACACGGGGACAAACAGAAGAAGACGTCTTCACCCCGGTATGGCTCCCCTTTATCACATACACAGCCCAACAGGACAATGACAATAATCCACCAACAGCATACAAATCAATATGGCTAACCTGATCCAAAACACCCACCCACCTCACTCACACGCGAAAACAAAGATCACCACAGCCAATCACAAGCAAACAATCACACCCTAGGCCAACCCCAACCTCTCTCACCACCAAAGGAACACAAGTGAACAACACAAGCAACGCTGACACCAAACTCTACATACATTAAACACCGCCACCCGACCCCACCCCTATCCATCTTCCCTCTCTCCACCCCCCTTTCTTTTTTCTTTCTTTTTTCTTCTCCCCCTAATGCCTCAACAAATGAAACAGATTTGTAAAAATGTTACATGAAGAAAAAAACAACGAGGCACTACACTTCTGTAAAACAAGAAAATCCTTAATAAAATAAAGATTAAGGTGGTCTAAAAAAAAACAAAAACTGTGTGTAGTTCCTGATCATCATGTTGCTCTCCCTCCCTCATGCCTGTGCCTCTAGGATGCCATAAAAGGGCTCTCCAGACCACCTTTGTTAACCTGCAGGTCAATGGTGATGTCATTCCTATTTAGTAAGGAAGAGCAGATCCAGAAAATGCATTGCTGAGTTTCCTTGAGTCCTGCCCATGGAAGTGGCAATTTATTTATCAAGTGTTCTAATGAACAAAATGCATTACACAGCCATCAATAGGGATCATGTTAGTTCATAGTCATATATATATTTATATCCATCAGTACTTTAACCAAGCCACGTTTTGTTTTGTTTTGTTTTGTGTTATCTAGCCCGACTGGCAGCCCTATTTACCACAGAATGGAGATTACATTGAGGTGGCTTTCTCCTATTCCCCCGTTTTATGGCCTTGGTCAGGGTACCTAGCAATTTCTATTTCTGTTGCAAAGAAAGCAGCCTCATGGGAAGGCATTGCACAAGGACACGTCATGATCACTGTTTCCTCTCCGGCCGAAAATGAGGTATTTCTTACTTTGCTGTTTATTAAGCCGTAATCTGCTGTTGTTTACCCTAGCACAGTATGGCACATGACTGCGCAAAAAAATGCAACTAGGAGAGAAACACATGCTAGTAATATAACTTTAGCATCCCTTTCAGCAGTATGAAATGTAGCTAGATGATTGAATTAGGGTGCTTAAAGATCAAGCAAAAGGCAAGTGTGTTCTCTTTTCATGTCTGAAAATTGACATAGAATTCTGAAGGTTGTGGCTCTGCTAGACCATGTGTTTTTCTTAGACCAGCAGCAGGAAACACATAGTCCAGGTGCCAATTGCAGCCCTCCCAGCCTGTCTGTCTGTCACTCAGGACTCTCCTTTGCCCATACACTGTTTCTCAGCCACACCCACTCACCGCAGACCACACACCTCTCACCTGCTTCACACACCCCTTGCATGTTTTTGCTTGGCTGGATTATGTCGTTGAACTTTGATAAGGCCTCTTGCTTACCTGGATAAAGGATGGAGGATAGAGAGGGGTGTGGGTGTGTGTACACGAACTAGTCTGCTGCACAAAGGTAAAATGGACCTTCATTGCTCTGCCCAGTTTTGTGTCTAGCTTTGCCCACCACTGACATGCCCTCCTGGAAGTTTGATCAAAATAGGTTCCTCACCCAGTCTGTGATTGCTTTCATAAATGTTTTTGTTAATTCATACGGAGTGGGGCTGGCCTTGAGATCTAAACCTACTGGGCATATTGATGTATGTTAGGGGTGTGGGCACCAACAACAAAGGAACAAAACAGCGTCATCTAGCTTTAAAGTCCATGGGACCCAAAGGAGTGCTTTAGTCTTGCCCAGGTACTTGGACACACTTTGTGTGACTCTTGAAGATTTCTTCCCTGGACGGCTGATGATCTCTTCTTACAAGCTGATTTTGAACACAAAATCCTTCCTTTCAGTACATGGCATAAATATTGTTTGGAAAATACAAGCACAAAATCTGAACTAGTTCAGCGTCTGTATCTGGCCTTTTGTCCAAGGAGGTTGGAGTGGTGCTGTAGTCTTGGAGCAACCTTGCAAAATAGGGAAGGTTGAGAGAGTGACCTGGCTAGTGTCCCCTGGTGAGCTTTGTGGCTTACTGGGGTTTTGAAGCTGCATTTTCCATATTCAAGCCACTACACCACAGTATTATACTGTGATATTGTGAGGGTGGGGTAAGGGGTGGGATGGAATGTATTTGAATGACAGCTTTTAAAAAAATATTTATCAGTTGAATGTTCTGTAGTTTGGATTTTGTTTGGGGGAAGCATTCTGTGGTACACCAGGCTCCTTTTTGTTTCTACTTCTTTCAGTCGAAAGCTGGCGCTGAACAGACTTCAACCGTGAAACTCCCAATAAAAGTGAAAGTTATCCCGACACCCCCACGTAGTAAGCGTGTCCTCTGGGATCAATATCACAATCTCCGCTATCCACCAGGATATTTTCCAAGGGATAATTTGCGGATGAAGAATGATCCCTTAGACTGGTGTGTGTGTGTTTTGTGCGTTACTGACCATTACTACTGTTTGAAATTGTTTTTAATACTGTAACCCACTCTGGGACCTTAGGGTAAAGGGTGGATAATTGGTGATGATGATGATGATGATGATACTGGCATGCAATAACGTTGACAAAATAGGAAATACAATTCTGTTCTCAAGATAACATGGAGATTTGCCTTATCTTCTGTAGTTCTAAGGGAAATTATAAACTCAGGTCTGACATTCCATGAAAATCTGGTTCATTCACAAATTACAGTATTTCACCCTAGCTTAGAAAGAAAATAGGTCTTTGTCATTGTGACAGTAATAGAGGTAAACTACATCCTTAAATTAATGACTTGTGTAATTTGCATTTTCCTTTTTTGTCCTCCCAAAATATATCCTAAAAATAAATCCCTATTGGGATTTGTTCTGCTTTAAGCAAGATATAAAGTCATTGAACATGGCAGTGGTCTGGTTCACACATGACACTAAGCCATGACACTAAGCTGTTGCACAAACCCCCAAGCCATATATCTCACTGACTCAGCTTTGCAACCCAAATGCTTTTGCCTTCTGAATGTTTCCTTAAACTCTGGTAAATGCCTCTTGTTTTTCTGATGAAGAATACAGAGGGGTATGTATGGAAACCAGCCTACTGTACAAATGTAGTTTTTTCTTTGGCCCTGTCCACTCCAGCCCTTGGAAGAAAATGTGGCCTTCAGGATAAAACAGCCCCCCTCTCCTTCATACCTTGTGAAATAATTTTTTGTAGTTTATTATATGCACACAGTATTTCAAATTATATTCCGTCTTATCTGCCATTGGTCCTGAACCACAAGTGATAGGCTTTGTCCATAAACTGTGCACGTATATCGTTTTAAGATACCAAAACCTTAGAAAGTAATATGACAAGAAAATCAGGTTACATACTTCACTTGGTTTATTTAGGAACGGTGACCACATCCACACAAACTTCAGGGATATGTACCAACATCTGAGAAGTATGGGGTATTTCGTTGAAGTTCTCGGTTCACCTTTCACTTGTTTCGATGCCAGTCAGTATGGTAAGTAATTGTGAGATTGCTGTTTATATATCAAAGCAGTTTTGGGGAGGCGAGCTTGCCCAAGCTCTCAAATTGAGGATGGGATGGCCAAAGAAAGATGTAAAGCCAAAACAGGAGAGGAGCCAAATGGAGGTTGCTGGTTTCCTTAAGCCAGAGGAAAATCACCATATGAGACTTGGGAGTGAGAGGAGAGGAGGTAGGCCTGGCCAAAGCTGCTTGAAAAGGGGCACAGAAGCCAAGAAAGGAGGATAAATCTGATTGTCTTTAGTCAAAGAGAGAACCCAGTATTACAGCAGAGAAAGGACAGGATGTGAATCACTCGCTACCTGTTCTCTGAGGCAAAAAGTTGGGCCAAGCATTGTTCTACCTCCCTTCATAAAAAGGTCTGGGAGCAAGCAAGGGGCAAAGTGATGCTGGGCAGGTTTTTGTCATTCTGAATTGTTGTTCCCCTTTTCCTGCAGGGACCTTATTGATGGTGGACAGTGAGGAAGAGTATTTTCCAGAAGAAATCACTAAACTGAGGAGGGATGTTGACAATGGACTGTCACTCATAATATTCAGTGACTGGTACAACACCTCAGTGATGAGGAAAGTCAAGTTTTACGATGAAAACACAAGGTATGGATATTCAGGAACTGGCCAGATTGAAGCCATTGCCTGCTGTATCCTATATTGCCCTTTATACAGCTCACCTAGAGGTAGATTTTTTATTTATTTCAGAAATTTCTAGATGGTCAGTCAGAGAATTTCAAAATCAAATGGTTGTTGGCTGATGTAGTTTGTTACTTGTAGGGAAGCTTTAAAATGTTAGTACAAAAATGAAAAACTTAAATCAATCTAAATATTTAAGTGGCTCAGGACCGCAATACCTCAAGGACTGCCTCCATCCATATGAAGCAACCTGGACCCTGTAATCATCATTTAAGGCCCTTCTTTGTGTCTCTTCTTTGCGATAGGTCTGGAGGGTGGCAACACAAGAATGGGCTTTTTCTGTGATGGCTCCCTGTTTGTGGAATGCTCTCCCCATGGAGACTCACCTGGTGCCTTAGTTACATGTCTTTAGGTGCCAGGCAAAAACATTCCTGTTTTCCCAGGCCTTTGGCTGATTAAAGGAATTTATGAAATATTGTTTTGTTCATAAACTGGTGGGGGACTTACTTTTGTTTTGTTATTATGGTATGTATTTTTGTGTTTTTATATTGCAAACCACCCTGTGTTCTTTGGATGAAGGGCAGTACAGTGGTACCTCTTGATACGAATGGGATCCGTTCCGGAGCCCCGTTCGCATCCAGAAGCGAACGCAACCAGCGTCTGCGCGTGCGCAGGTTGCTATTCGCCGCTTCTGTGCATGCATGTGCCGTCATTTTGACCATCTGCGCATGTGCGAGCGGCAAAACCTGGAAGTAACACTTTCCGTTACTTCCGGGTCGCCGCGGAGTGCAACCCGAAAGCGCTCAACCTGAAACAACTTCAACCCGAGGTATGACTGTATAGAAGTTTAATCAATAATAATAATAAACTTCAGCTCTTTTTCTTTTTTTTAAAGAGGCCTAGTCAAACTTATTCAGTCATTGGCAGATGCACATGGAATATTGTAAAGCCTCTGCATATCTGAGGCTTCTCCAAATATGAATCCTGTTGTCTTTGGTGATTAGTGTGTCAGCATGGACATTAGGAGTGGGTCGTGGCAGTTCAAATTTACCCACCAAAGAAATGACAGTATTTTCTGGGTTGTGATAACTTGCCTTGTGGTGATGCATTTGTAGGCAGTGGTGGATGCCTGATACTGGGGGAGCTAATATTCCAGCTCTGAATGATCTTCTCTCGGTGTGGGGCATGGCCTTTAGTGACGGGCTGTATGAAGGAGATTTTACCATGGCAAGTCATGAAAGTAAGTCAACTGGGTGTCTTATTTATTTATTTATTGCATTTATATGCCACCAGTCTGCCAAGACACAATTTTAAAATACTAAAATAAATCATACAGAAAGTAAGGTTCACACATGGGCGGCGGGGTGGGGAGGGTAGGGTAGGTAGAGGACAGTGTAACTGGGACAGGCCCTGATATCTCTGCTTGCTTGCCTCACTCTCCTCCTCACGGGGTTGATGGTGTCCATTGGCCTTGTGTAGTTTGACCCAAGCAGGCTCTCTCTTCCCTTACTACAGGACTGATGGACAGGATGTTTGCAGAGGGGGCCACCTTGATAGCTCCACCACTCTCAGAAGCTATTGTGGGTGGTGGCCTGGGAGATTGCATTGTTTGTGCCAGCCCTTAAGTTGTGGGATTCCATTCCCACAGAGGTGCATTTGACACCTTAATTGTACAGTGTTCAGTGTATGCACCTCTTTACCCTGGCCTTCAACACTGGAGATATCTATATCCACAGAGAGAAAGAGACTCATTTATATGAATGACCCACCCTAGTTGTGATCGTAATTTGTTTTAAGCTATTTTAATGCAGTATTTTTATTTCTGTAACCCACCCTGGGACCTTCTTGTGAAGAGTGGGTAATATATATATAAGAACAAGAACAAGAGCAGTAACTAATAATAGCAGTGGGAATAGTGAGGCAGACAAGGGAGTTGGAGTCTGTGGGACGTTTTGCCAGATTGGGATCTTGAAAGGATACCTGTGTCTTTTAAGATATATATTGAAGGGAGAATTGCACCTGGTTCAGTCTGTTGTTACTGCAGCCCTGTAATGGGAAAAGCTGTGGCTAGTAACAGATCTTCTTTTGCACCTTTTAGGCTTCAATCCTATATGCACGTGTATAAGGAAGGCACAAGAGCTTTCTCAGCATAGGCCCAAAAGCTATGAAAAGGGTATTGTGGCTGGGTTAGGTGGCTGATTTGAATCCACCAGTCAAATTATGGCTACAAGTTTCTAGTTATAAGCTAGAATTGGTGAATTACTCCCTTTTTTATTATTTGCAGTGAACTACGCCTCTGGATGTAGTATTGCAAAGTTTCCAGAAGATGGCATTGTGATTGCACAGACATTTAAGGATCAAGGTACAGAGCTGCATTTCATTTCATATTCCTCCTAGGTAGGCATGGAATTACGGTTCTTTGTATAATTTAACTTCCAGCAGCCCTTTTCGGCATGACGGGGGTTAACTTTTCACTTACTTTTCAAGTAAAATAAAAGCAAAGAGCCACCTTCCATGCTGATCTTTGTTCATCCAAAGTGTCCAAAAATGTTGCACTGGAAAGGCTTACAGCCACATCATGGCTCACCACTTTGAAGGTCTAAGTGCCTTTCAAATAACTTTGGGTAAAGTTGTTTGCAAACTTGAATCAGGTGGGTTTCCAGATGTGGATCTCCTGCCCTAAAGAACCACCCCATCCCAGGAGAGCTCCAAAATCTGAGCGCAGAGCTGATGGGTATGGGTTTGTTCATGAACAGTAAAGCATGAGAGGCTAGTGTGTGGCTCTTCAGATGCTGTTGGACTACAGCTTCCATCATCCTTGGCTGTTGGCTATGCTGGCTGGGGCTGATGAGAGTTGGGGTCTGGCAACATCTAGAGGGCCACAGCACTTAGCCCTTGGGCATTATAGGCTTCTTCCTGCCTCCAGCCCTGCATCAGAAGCGCTGCTTTGTAAAATCACTGGAGTCTAAAAAGCAACTTGCAGTTTCTCATGAGCAAGAAAAAGAGCTGCTATTTATTCCGTTAATCACTTTTGACCTCTGCTCCCAACACACACGTGTGGCTCTCTTCACGTGCAGCTTTGATACAAGGACTCTGCTACAATTCTTTTGATAACAGAGAAAGGACAATGGAAGTTGCTAAATTTAAATCTTCTTTCCTTTTATGCTGAATCATTAACTATGACTGTTGATAAACCAGAAAGTTACAATTATAATGAAAAGTACATTTGCCTTCTTGTATAGCCATTGCTTGCTGCTCATTATTTGCCCTTATCTTTCACGGAAGCAAAATGAAGAATGATGGCAATTTGGTGGTATTGTATTTGGCTTTTCAGTCCTGTTTCGACCTGTTTAGATCCTGTTTAACCATTTTACAAAGCTCTTGAGAGGTGCAGCATTATATAGATGAAGCTACATAGGATTAAGGAGATGGGAGGGTTTTTTCATTTTGTTTACACATACACACACACACACACACACACACACCCATCCTGTAGAAGTGTAATGCGTCTTAAATCTTTTGTTTGAGAGCCAGTGTTTTTTGACTACCCAAGTTATGCAAGATCATTGGGATGTTGCCATCTGACAATTTTCCTTTCCACCCTTTCCTCTAGGTCTTGAAGTTTTAAAGCAGGAAACGGCAATAATAGAAAATGTCCCCATTTTGGGCCTTTTCCAAGTTCCTTCAGAAGGTGGAGGCAGGATCGTTTTGTATGGTGATTCAAACTGCTTGGATGATAGCCACAGGCAGAAAGGTGTGTTACATTTGCTAAGTAAACATCCCATTACTCGTGTAAGTTAACATCTGTTGTCACAATGCCAATGCACAGCAGACAGCCTACCTACCATATGGTAAAATGACTTCATATCTGCAGTAGAACAAGTTTAAATCCCACCTTCACTAGTGACAGGTCTCTTATTGCAAAATCCTATGTATGTCTACTCAGAAGCAAGGGGCAGTTAGGTTTACTCCCAGTAATTGGGCACAGGAATGTGGCTTTAGTGGAAGAATTGTTCATGAGTGAGAGAGAGAGAAGGAGACAGAAAAGAATCTCAATCTTACAAGCTAGGGAAAAAGATTTACTGAAAAGAGATGATCTGATTTGAGGTGATTCGGAGTTAATAATTGCTAGATTCCTTGGGATTAGTCATGGAGTGCTGTTACTTTTGCATAGCAAATTTGCATAGTAAATTTACAAGCAAATTTTTTAAGACTTAAAGAGTAAATCTTGTCTCTAGCGGTTTCCTACCACTTGCCGATTTCTTCTCCTGCTCCAGCTTCCAGACAGAATAACTTCACTCGGACTTGAAAAAGAAACTCCTTGAATGGTTCTATGCAAAGATGTGGGGGTGGAAAATTCATAGGACCAGAAGATCTAATAGAACTCTCAGAACTATTCCTTCTGCTGTTTTTTCAAACGCTTTACATTTCTGGATGATATTGAAGGCTTGTCATACTCAGAGTAGACCTATTGTTTCCATTGGGTCTACTCCATGTATGACAGTGGTTGGAAATTATTTACTGTCCATCTTTCATTTGGTGCCTTCAATTTGCAATTCCTGTGTTTTAGCTTTCATACCAAATATAGGGAGGCTACATTTTGATCCCTATAATTAATTGTTAGATTTCTTACTCATCCTTCGTCATAAGGTCCCAAAATACATTACAGCAGCAAAAAAATGCAGTTTAAAACAAAATATCACTACAGAAAAATAAAATAGATCAAAGGCCTGGGGAGCGCTATGTCTTTAGCATACGATGAAAGCTGAATAACGATGGCACAAGTTGCCCCTCTGTTGGGAGGGAATTCCACCACTGTGACAGAGAAAGCCCTCTCCCATGTTACCACCCCTCGAGACACTACTGATCTTAACACCTGGGAAGGTCTGTAGGGAACAGCGCAGTCTTTCGGCCATTTGGGGCCTAAGTCATGGAGGGCTTTGAACACCAGTGTGAGTGCCTTCAGTTGGGCTTGGAAACAAACACCAGGTCAGCATCCAGAGGATGCCTTTAAATTCAGCTCCGAGTTCTTTGTATCAGTCAAAGAGGATAGCTTTAAATACAGTATCAGACTGGCTTTCATGTTGCAAATTGAAAGCAGTACCTCCTGCTGTGACATCAGTGAGCTTAGCTGTGTTTAAAATTCCTCGCATATATGATTTGTAAATCCTAAAAACGTGTCTGACCTCTGTTTTTTTTAATTAAAAAAAAATCAAAGGTGATCATTTCAGTTACATCAGGATTATGCAGATTAACTCCCATTCCCACCAAACCGCTATCCTGGGTGGGAATTGTCAGACAGTGTTTTTTGAACTGTTCTAAAATGGTCTGTGAAGGCTAAACTAGATTTCCAAGGTCTGAAAATTTGGCGAGTTAAAATTTCCCCAGCACAGTAGTTTTTGTTTATGCCAAAAAGATATGTGCCTCAAAATAACCTATTCCCAATTTAAAGGCTGAAAACAATTATGATGCCCCTCTGGGCAGCCCTGTTCTGCTGCATTAATAAACATTGCTCTTGTAAACGAAAGCCTTCTTTCTAACAGCTTAGATTGACTTTATTGCACCATGTCAATTCACATGAAAGAGAGCAAACATTTTAAAATTCACTGGGTAGCCATGGATAAGACTTCTCCTTTCACAGGGTTGATGTCGTGAAGGCATAGAAGACAGGCATTGAGGCTCCATCCCAACAGCTCACTAAGCCATCGTGATGGAAGCTTAACTTCCCTTTAGTGTCTGAACCATCACATTAAACCATTGTTTGTGATAGGCAACACCAGAATCAGAAAATAAGGTTTGAAATTCATTTGCATTTTGAACTAACAAACCATGGTGATGGCTGTTGTTCCACCTCTGAAGGAGCCTGCATTATAGAAATGGGAGTGCTGAGCAGATCAGAGACATGGTTTAAAGCTGCATCATCCCTGACGGTTGGCCACGCTGCCTGGGACTGATGGGAGCTGAAACCCAGGCTCAGAGCATTCCCCATTCCATTCTTAGTCCCAGCAAAAGAATTGGGCTGAGCTTCAGGAGCATAGCACAGAAAAACAGCAGCAATGCAGTGTCAAGGGAAAACAGGTGGCAGCAGTGGATTTAAAAGCATCAATCAGTGTACAGTGGTGCCTCGCAAGACGAAATTAATTCGTTCCGCAAGTTTTTTCTTCTTGCGAGTTTTTCGTCTTGCGATGCACGGTTTCCCATAGGAATGCATTGAAAATCAATTAATGCGTTCCTAGGAAACCGACTTCAGACCAGGTCCGGGGACAGTCTGTCCCCGACCTCTTCTGAAGGCTGGGGGGGACAAGGGCTTTTCTTCCCACCCACCCCAGCATTTTAAAACCCCGGGACAGCGGAGGGCTTCTCCGCTGTCCGGGCGATCTTAAAATGCTGGCGGGCGGCATTTTAAAATTGCCCCGGGACAGCGGAGGACTTCTCCGCTGTCCGGGGCAATTTAAAGCCCCTGGGAAGGCAGGCAGGGGGACAAAGACTTTTGCCCCCGCCAGCCTTCAGAAGAGGTCCTGGACCTCTTCTGAAGGTTGGCGGGGCGAAAGTCTTGTCCCCCACCTGCCTTCAAAAGCTGTCCAGCCAAGGCTTCGCGGACCTCTCCGCAAGCAGCGGCAGCACTGCCGCTGCTTGCGGAGAGTTGCCGGCATGCCGAAGCCTGCGCGCGCTGAGATCAGCGCGCCCAGGCTTCGCGGACCTCTCCGCGAGCAGCGGCAGCGCTGCCGCTGCTTGCGGAGAGTTGCCGGCATGCCGAAGCCTGCGCGCGCTGAGATCAGCGCGCCCAGGCTTCGCGGACCTCTCCGCGAGCAGCGGCAGCGCTGCCGCTGCTTGCGGAGAGTTGCCGGCATGCCGAAGCCTGCGCGCGCTGAGATCAGCGCGCCCAGGCTTCGCGGACCTCTCCGCGAGCAGCGGCAGCGCTGCCGCTGCTTGCGGAGAGTTGCCGGCATGCCGAAGCCTGCGCGCGCTGAGATCAGCGCGCCCAGGCTCGCGGACCTCTCCGCGAGCAGCGGCAGCGCTGCCGCTGCTTGCGGAGAGTTGCCGGCATGCCGAAGCCTGCGCGCGCTGAGATCAGCGCGCCCAGGCTCGCGGACCTCTCCGCGAGCAGCGGCAGCGCTGCCGCTGCTTGCGGAGAGTTGCCGGCATGCCGAAGCCTGCGCGCGCTGAGATCAGCGCGCCCAGGCTCCGCGGACCTCTCCGCGAGCAGCGGCAGCGCTGCCGCTGCTTGCGGAGAGTTGCCGGCATGCCGAAGCCTGCGCGCGCTGAGATCAGCGCGCCCAGGCTTCGCGGACCTCTCCGCGAGAAGCGACACCGCAGCCGCTGCTTGCGGAGAGATGCCGGCATGCCGAAGCCTGCGCGCGCTGAGATCAGCGCGCCCAGGCCTCGCGGACCTCTCCGCGAGCAGCGGCAGCGCTGCCGCTGCTTGCGGAGAGTTGCCGGCATGCCGAAGCCTGCGCGCGCTGAGCACAGCGCGCCCAGGCTCGCGGACCTCTCCGCGAGCAGCGGCAGCGCTGCCGCTGCTTGCGGAGAGTTGCCGGCATGCCGAAGCCTGCGCGCGCTGAGATCAGCGCGCCCAGGCTCGCGGACCTCTCCGCGAGCAGCGGCAGCGCTGCCGCTGCTTGCGGAGAGTTGCCGGCATGCCGGAGCCTGCGCGCGCTGAGATCAGCGCGCCCAGGCTCGCGGACCTCTCCGCGAGCAGCGGCAGCGCTGCCGCTGCTTGCGGAGAGTTGCCGCATGCCGAAGCCTGCGCGCGCTGAGATCAGCGCGCCCAGGCTCCGCGGACCTCTCCTGCCTTCAAAAGCCGTCCGGGATAGCGGGAAGCGCTTCCCTGCTATCCCGGACTGCTTTTAAATGCTGGCGGTGGGAGCAAAGCCTTTCGGCCCCGCCAGCCTTCCTGGACCTCTTCTGAAGGCCGGAGGGGGAAGGCTTTGCTCCCCACCGCTAGCATTTAAAAGAGGTCCTCGGAGATTTCCCTATGGGCTTTCGTCTTGCGAAGCAAGCCCATAGGGAAATTCGTTTTGCGAAGCGCCTCCAAAACGGAAAACCCTTTCGTCTAGCGGGTTTTCCGTCTTGCGAGGCGTTCGTCTTGCGGGGCACCACTGTAGTTAATGTGTGGAGTTGGTTTGTTTGGCTCAAAACACTCGATTTTTTATTTTTATTCTTAAATTCCAGATTGCTTTTGGCTTCTTGATTCTCTTCTTCAATACACATCTTATGGAGTTATGCCACCAAGCCTCAGCCATTCAGAAAACAGACAACGACCTCCAACAGGCATAGGCTATGCTCTTCCAGAGCGAATGGAAGGTGATTTTCATTTGATTTGTGCTGCTACAGATGAGCTGTGGTAGTATTTGGCCTGGGAGTAGGGTGGATGGTCCCATTATTATTATTCTCAGACTTATTAGTTGCTGTTTAAACACAAAAACAAAATGCAAATTCAAAGCGACTTGCAGTGTAATGTACAGTGGTACCTCGGGTTAAGAACTTAATTCGTTCCAGAGGTCCATTCTTAACCTGAAACTGTTCTTAACCTGAGGTACCACTTTAGCTAATGGGGCCTCCCGCTGCCACCGTTCGATTTCTCTTCTCATCCTGAAGCAAAGTTCTTAACCCGAGGTACTATTTCTGGGTTAGCGGAGTCTGTAACCTGAAGCGTCTGTAAACCGAGGTACCACTGTAATACAAAAATCAAAAGCACTATAAAGCTAAAACAAGCTAAAAACACTAATATACATAGAAAGCAGTCTAGCATTCCGCACACTTAGTGTCTAAAAATCTCTTAAGTTAAAGGCCAATAATCTGGCTGGGGGGAAAAAGTTGTTGCCTGGCCTGGTGCCTAAATGTAGCCAGCAGTGGACCCAGGCAGGTCTCCCCAAGGTGACCATTCCATAAGTGGGAGATCTACCACTGAAAAGGCCCATTCTCATGTTGCCAGCTTCTGGATCTCCCTCAGAGAAGGCACACAGAGAAAGGACCTCAGATGATGAACACAAGGTCCAGGTTAGTTTACTGCTCTTACCTACCTCAGTCTGTTTGGCAGGGTTCATAACGGGCAGGGGTCAAATGCAAACGTGGTGGGAGGAGGGGAGGGGAAATGCAGGCTCTTGGACAGTCTCCCAATATCTGCCCCCCACTTCAGGTTGACTGCTTCCATGGGAAGCATGAGGCAAATGTATCTGCCCTCCAACCAGAACACTCGCTCCATGCCTCCACCTACTGTAGAATTTGGGAGGGCATGTGTACTCCAGGAATGGCAAGATGTGTTCCTCATGTTTAGAAAACAGCACGGGCAGCAGGCAGGGAATTATCTTCTGGTATAACTGTTTCGCTGTGTGATTTCAGGTAACCATCTTCATCGATATTCGAAGGTGCTCGAGGCTCACCTGCGTGACCCTAAGCCCCGCTCACTCCCAGCGTGTCCTCATTTGTCTTGGGCAAAGCCACAGCCTCTGAACGAAACGGCTCCCAGGTTGCAATTTCTGATTTTGCTAAATCCACCTTTAGTTTCCAGTTTCCAGTTTTGAATGTAATCAATATGGCACTCAATCAACACAGTATTTTGTCTGATTAACTTTCCAGGCATATGAATGATACTGTTAAAATGTAATTAAAAACATACCAAAAAACCCCCTAGAACCAGCAGTTAGCTGAATTCACACACCAGATTCGCAAGAAACCTGTCTGCTTCCTCCCCTCCCAAAAAATAGTTTCTAGCTCTCCTGATTGTGGAGATGAAAATGCCATCCTTAATATTTAAGGCCCGCCATCTAGAAGTGAAACAACATGGAACGCCAGACCTTGCAGTTGAGGCCAGGTGAAGCAAATGTGGTGTGTACCCAGCATGCACTGACTTCCCAGTTGCTCAGACCATCAAGACAGGCCATGGGTTTTCATAAGATTTGGGGAGTATCACCTGACCTCTTCTGACCTATAGATGTAAGGATGTCCACTGTGGCTAGTCTCTGCAGTTTCCATGTGCCACTGCCCAGCTCTGGCCAAACAAGGCTGAGTCTGCCTGACGTAGTTTGCAATCCTAGGTTGTATCCCACCTAAGATGTACATAGAGTAGACCCACTGAAATGTTCAGATATTCAAAATGTTTTCTAGGAATCTTGATTGACTAGTAGCCCAGTGTACAAATAGTTTTGGATGCTTTCATTTTTTCCAGCAACCTATGGAAACATCAGAAGTTACTGTCAATCGACCTGGACAAAGTGGCTTTACCAAGTTTCCGTCAGAACCGACCCCAAGTAAGGCCTTTGTCACCTGGAGAAAGTGGAGCCTGGGATATTCCAGGGGGTAGGTGCCAGAATGGTGGGACACCTGTTGCCCGCAGTGCATCACAGCACCCTAAATGAGATAGAAGCATACACACCTATGCAGAAGAAATACAGAGACATCTGGAATCATCTTGATCCAACTTTTAGTTATCAAGATTACACCTCATTTATGCCTCTTTAGTATGTATCTTTTGGCCATAATTAGTGCTAGCACACCTGCCCACAGTACTCACAGGCATACCTTGTGAAATTTCTGGCTTTTGATATTTTGGAAAAGTAGTTTTCACTTTCTACGTAGAGTAGTCTGATAAGCAGCCCCTGTATGTCTGCCATTGAAATTCCTCTTGGGGAATGCTCTATGGCACACACCCTGTTTATGCACACTGATGCCTAGCCATGATGGACACCCCCCATGTGAACTCAAAGAACACCCTGGAGCAGGGGTGGGAAACCATTTTTAGCCCAAGGGGCCACATTTTCTCATGGGCAGCCTCCAAGGGGCCACATGCTAGTGGTGGGTGTGGCCAGATGTGTACCACTCTCCATACAGGCAAGGAAGAGTTCATAGTTCTGGGATACTTTACAGCCAGGTAAAATCAATAGAGGAGGGCACATAGTAGGTTCACTGTTTCATATTCTAAAATTGGTTTTCAAATGGTAGTCTCCCCCACAAGGGAAACTTTAGGCAGGCCTATGCTTTTGATGATCAGCTTTAATATAATTGCATAGAAGTGATCCCTGGTTGAAATCAGTGAGTTGTATCCAACCAAGTCCTACTCAGAGTAGACCCATTTGAAATTAGTGGGCCTAAGTTGGCCATGACTATTAATTTCAGTGAGTTTACTCTGAGTAAGACTGGCAACCCAGTAGTTGTGTGGCAATTTCTACAACTCTTGTTTGTCCATGGCTTAATGCATCCTTGGCTTGCTTACATTAATCTCCTCCCTTTCCCATACAGGAATAATGCCTGGACGGTACAACCAGGATGTGGGAGGGACGATACCCGTCTTTGCGTTACTCGGTGCTATGGTGGTCCTGGCCTTCTTTGTGGTGCAGATCAAAGCTAAGAGCAGGCCAAAGAGACGGAAGCCCAGAGTCAAGCGGCCACAAATTATACAGCAGGGTCACCTACCAAAGACACCGTCTGTTTGACCACAGTTGCCAAAGATTACCTTCTACTGGCTGCTTCATGGAATTATGATGATCGTTACTAATGAAGATTGTTTGTGCCTGGCATTTGGTGACTGATTCAAGCAGGAACCCATGTTTTCTTTGGCTACTGACAAAACAAGAACTCAGTGGATCATCACGAGATTTTTTTATAAAAAACTACTATTATTTTCAGTAGCTGAATCCACCAAAGCCTTGAGCACTATTTAAAAAGAACCGATATGTTGTTCTATTTCCCAAAAAGGGAGGAAAAGAGACCTTTTTTTCCTTTTCTTTTAAACTGACCAAACCTTTTCATTAGAGGCTATTTTCTATATTTATTTTAGGAAGAACTTGGGAGAAGAGCCTCTTCAAGGCTCTTGGGTATCTGATAGCAGAACCATTTTTCTGAATGGAATGCAATTTTCTAATACTATATATTACAAAGAGAAATAAAACTCGCAACATCCTGCTGTAAGGACGAAAATGCAAAACTGACAGGGAGAAGGGGACAAATCAGTGTGGCAAAATCCTTCTGTTTATTTTTATAAAGCAACTTACCATGATGTTTTGTAATTTTTTGGCATGATTTCACCATTGTTGGTGGAGAAAATTTTTCCAATAAATATGTTACCTGTATCGAAGCTGAAACAAAAATGCATAGAAGTTTTTCCTCCTTGAAAGCTTGGGTAGGAAGCAGTTCTGCAATCCTTTCTTCATGTTTGCCAAAACCTTTTCATTTGTGAACATAAGCACTTTGATTGGGTTTTGACTGCCAAATAGAATGGCCTGGCTTGCACACTAAGCTAAACCATGGCTTAGCATGCAAGTATGCAGACTCTGGGACAGGAAATAGTGGCTGCTTACCACCTCCACCACCCCAATATTATTCTGATGCTGTGCTGAACTTAACCCATGGCTTTCCTTAGCATGTAATCAAAAACAGACTGCAACCAAACCACAAACTGCAACCAAGTTTTGCTTATGGTTTACGACTTGTGGTTGGTTCAAGAGATCTATATCAGAGCCCGGGTTCATTTGACACAGTAAGTCCCAGTGGTATCTTCTTTGAATGACAGCAGATCCCTGCACATGGTCTGGCCCTGAGGTGCAACTTATATTGCAATAAGTTTCTGTAATTTCACATGCCTTCAAATTGGGATCCAATTTGGCATGTGTAAATTCAGTTGTTTTTTTTAAAGATGTTGGAGTGGAGAGAAATTTTACCACCCATGCACCTCTTGATTATCATGCTGTGATTACTCAGTATCAAGGACTAAAGTGATGCCGTGGATGGGTGTTGCATTTATTTATTTATTTATTTACTTACTTCCTTTTATATCCTGCCAGACAGAGAGATCTGGAGGGTTGTATTTCTCAAAACCGGGATAAATGAAATGCAAATTGCAAGGCACTGAAACCGTCCCTTTAACACAAGCTTATCAAGTTCATTTTTCTTACATTTTGCTGTGCCTCAAAACTCAACTGTGCGACAGGCTCAAGAACTCAGCAGCTGAAGCTATCCCATCTGCATGCTTTGAAAAGCAACCTTCTGCCAAATTTCTGCTTGTCAGGCTCTTAAAAAAAGAAAAAATATATATGAGCCCAACCAGAAATGAGGAGACTTTCAGTAAAGCACTTAACCCTTGAAAGGCACAGGTTGAGAGGCCAATTGAAGGGCCCTCAGAGCTGCAGCAGTGAGCAGGTGATAATGCTGGAAAGGTAATCTCTTTAGGAAGGCCAACCAAAAAGGTCACAAAATTATGACTAGCTTCTAAATTCTTCAGAGTTCTTTATTGAGCAAGATGTAACACAAATCAGGTGGGGTGGAGAGAAGGATAAAAATACAAAAAAAAAGTGGTTGGATGTTGTAGCCATGAGATCAATTTATGGAGATTGTGGGGCTGAGTGAGGTCTTCCTGGGTGCTACAGATACCTAAGGGTTGTCAGGACAGGAGCATCCCAGACTCTGAGATTTCAGGGCCCAGACCTGAGAACTAGTGGCAACCCCTGGTGAAGTCATTAAGCATTAACCACACTCTCTGGGAGTATGTCATTTGAAGCACATACAAAGTCTTAACAAATGAGCAAATATGTCAGTGGTTGGAAATTAAGATAGAACATTAGCTAAAGCAGGTGTTCTTGTAAGTAAGTACTGTATGCATTTAATTTCCTCCTCCCCCCACTATCTACATTTTTGTACTCCACAAAAGTAAAAACTGCAAGGATCCTCATTTTACACCAAAAACAGAGCTTTCCAAACTTCTGCTTTACACACTGTGTTTAAGATGGGGCGGGGGTGGGAGAGAAGCCAAAAATACCAATGGGCTAGCAGAAGCCCCTTTTCTGAGCCAATATAGCTCTGTCTTCAATCCAGATTTTAGCTGGGAAAACTCCCTTTCCAGAGAAGGGTACTTGGTAGCTTAATTCCTTTAGACGGTCTCTTGGCTGTCCTCCCAGCTTGCCTCTAAATAAAATAAACTAGCAGCTAGTCATGAATTCTAGCTTTTACACAGCATTCTGGCCATGTAACCAGATATTTAACACACACATATACCCTGGGGCATGTTTGAAGGTTTTTTTTTAAATGTGCAGTTGGTCACAAATGTGTGGTTTGATAAATGGGAGTGGAGGGGAATTAAATGTGTTACGTGTGTGTGCTTATTAAGTACTTAAAGGCAGGCAATGTCAGGGAAAGCATATATTGTATACCAATTGTTCAGTTTCCATACTTAAGACAATCTGCCCAAACCGTATAAAATGCTGCTACCTTCTTTTGGCTGGGGCTGCCACCTCTTCATCTTCCTCTTCTGTCAGGTAATAGGCATTTGCATCCTTTAATAGTAAATACCTTTAAAGTACTCATTTTTTGATGTGTCTGCTGGCGTCACTGTATAGTAAATAAGAAATACCCTCTCCTGTCGAGAAACTGCCACTGATCCAGGGTAAAGGAAACAAGGAGCAAAGCACACTTCTCTTGGTTTGGCATTTTTCTTCTATTTTTAGTGTGCGGTGTCTGACTGGGAATTTGTGCAGCTACAAAATCTGCTTTTAAAAAATCACTGGCATATTTCTGTGGGCAGCTGACAATCTTACCTGTAATGATCCAATGAGTGGAATAATCTCTGGCCTCCATACTCCTACATGAGCTATGGAGATGGGTTTTATTTAAGTATGCCTCTTCAGGAAAAAAAATAGATTTAATTTATAAAGAAAAATTGAATTTATACTGCTTTTGAGTTTTAGTGTGGGCTGTGATTTATTTTTGGATTATTATTTAACAATGCCTGAGGAGTTCTCTTTCTTTTTTTACTGTTTTTTTAACAGTTTCTTGACGGAAAGACAGTGGAAATTCTAGAATTAACAAACCAATTAATTAGCACTGAGGCTCAAGGACACGACTTCTGCCTATGTGGCATAAAAATCTTGAGGCAGGCAGAGTTTCCACTAGTGCGGCTCCCCCCCGCCCCCAATGTATTCCTGTAGGGAGGAGGTGGGAAACAAATGAGCCAGTTTAAGCCTGCTGAATATTCCCCAAGCTCGTGTGTTTGTAAAATGCTTAAAGATGTTTTCTTATTTTTTCAACAAACAGCCTGGCTGAGAAAATCAACTCTGCCTTCTTCAGTTGCCAGGTCTGCAAGGGATGGATGGAGCTAAGCTAATCAAGGATTAAGCCAGCAAGTGGATACAGCTGGAGGCTGTTTAAACTATAGGTATAGCCCACTGTCCACAAGCAGAACATGAAGGCAGGAAGAAGGGAGTGGCTATGGGGAGGGAGAGATTGTGTTGCAATCTGAGAGAGACAAACTATATCCCCCCCCTTCCTAAAGTCAGGAGACAGGAGCAAAGATCACCCCCTCCTCTATATTGGAGTTTCCTAAGGATATCCTCCATGATGGGACTAGTCCTGGATATCTCTTCTCCTCTCTGAATGCTGCAGAAAAGGTGTTCGTGGCCAACATGGGTATAGTTGCTTGCTTCTCTGTCTTTCTCTATATACTAATGAAACTGATCTGATAACTTTGCACTTCTCTAACTCTTGTCTTTTGCCTGCACCTTTTTTCTTTAAATACGTTTGTGGTGTTGTGGGTGTTGCTTGCTGGTTGTCTCCTGCTGGGAATGTGAGCCTAGTACTTGGAAGAAGAGGAGGTACTGGTATTTTAACCCAGGAGGAGGAGAAAACTGTTTTTGGGGCTCCATAAACAACAGGCAAAGGCTTGTAGCTGCATGTTTGAGCCTCCTCCTGGGAAATGGTGGTTTTGGGGTGGGGTTTTTTTTTGGGGGGGGGGTGTCTGGGAATACAGGATGGTGCTGCTTGAGATGCCTTATCTGTACCAGACCTTTTGTGTGTGCAAGTTTATCATTTGCACAATAGGGGGAAATTTTGTTTTGTATTTACATGTGAATTCCCTTAATTCACACTGCCTGAGAGCTGAAATGCAGCTTTCCTTTGAAATTAATACCTCTGAAATTTGTGGTGTGGTTCTCCAACACAAGTATGAGTATTTTAAAAAAGTATACTTTGTCTGAAAGTGTGCATAAACATGTTAAGATAACACTAAAATGCATTATATTGGAGTGTACATTTGGCGAAATAGCGTACAAAAAGTGAATAGTGGAGGAAATGTGCATTAGTTCACTGATGAATTTTCTCCCCCCCCAAAATGTGGAAATGTGGGGAACTGAACTTGACTGGAAAAATGAGAAAGCCAAATGGAAAGATTCATCCATCCCAGTCTGCAGATACAGTGGTACCTCAGGTTACATACGCTTCAGGTTACAGACTCCGCTAACCCAGGAATAGTGCTTCAGATTAAGAACTTTGCTTCAGGATGAGAACAGAAATCGTGCTCTGGTGGCGCGGCAGCAGCAGGAGGCCCCATTAGCTAAAGTGGTGCTTCACGTTAAGAACAGTTTCAGGTTAAGAACGGACCTCTGGAATGAATTAAGTGCTTAACCCGAGGTACCACTGTGCTATGTTTCAAAGCATGCATATGTACCTCCCCAGTTTCTGTAATAGTATTACGAAAGTTGAGTGCCCCCTCCAATCACTGCTGACTCAAGTGGGGTTCCAGGCGCTCACCCAGGGTCTGTGTTCCTTTGGAGAGATTGGGCACAATGGAGGCTAGTGTCTTAATAATATAGGGTTTATTTTACACATAAATACAACCCTTAGTCTCCAAATGAGCACACAGCAGCAGCACTACAAAACATTCCAGCTTATCCTTACAGTTGCATCGCCGACATCCTTTTTCGCTCTGCCACTTGTCTTGGTCTTCTGAGGTGAATCCTTTCCTCCTTCCTGGTCCCATATTTCCTAATTCTGCTGTTCCTAAAACCTAAACCTCCTTTATTCATTTGCTCTAATAGTTGGTTCTTTTGATGTTTTGAAGAAGTAATGGTTAATCCCCTCTGGCATCACCTAACAAAGGTCACCTGACTTCATCAACGACTAGGATTAAAGACTAGTGCACACTTAGGACATTTACCTAGGTTAATTAACTCTTCACATGCTAATTGCTTTTGCTCAGAAGTAGGTTCATACATGGCTCTAGATTACATTCTCAAGTCTTTACACATAAACACTGATTAAACACCTCAAACCCCTTACATAAACCCCTTCTAATGCACAACGAGACTGCCTTATAACATACCTCAGTTATAACATACAAGTTCTAATTAAATCCTGTTTTGTTGTTTAGTCGTTTAGTCGTGTCCGACTCTTCGTGACCCCATGGACCAGAGCACGCCAGGCACTCCTGTCTTCCACTGCCTCCCGCAGTTTGGTCAGACTCATGTTTGTAGCTTCGAGAACACTGTCCAACCATCTCGTCCTCTGTTGTCCCCTTCTCCTTGTGCCCTCAATCTTTCCCAACATCAGGGTCTTTTCCAGGGAGTCTTCTCTTCTCATGAGGTAGCCAAAGTATTGGAGCCTCAGCTTCACGATCTGTCCTTCCAGTGAGCACTCAGGGCTGATTTCCTTCAGAATGGATGCATTTGATCTTCTTGCAGTCCATGGGACTCTCAAGAGTCTCAACCAGCACCATAATTCAAAAGCATCCATTCTTCGGCGATCAGCCTTCTTTATGGTCCAGCTCTCATTTCCATACATCACTACTGGGAAAACCATGGCTTTAACTATATGGACTTTGTTGGCAAGGTGATGTCTCTGCTTTTAAAAATGCTGTCTAGGTTTGCCATCGCCTTTCTCCCAAGGAGCAGGCGTCTTTTAATTTCGTGACTGCTGTCACCATCTGCAGTAATCATGGAGCCCAAGAAAGTAAAATCTCTCACTGCCTCCATTTCTTCCCCTTCTATTTGCCAGGAGGTGATGGGCCCAGTGGCCATGATCTTCGTTTTTTTGATGTTGAGCTTCAGACCATATTTTGCGCTCTCCTCTTCACCCTCATTAAAAGGTTCTTTAATTCCTCCTCACTTTCTGCCATCAAGGTTGTGTCATCTGCATATCTGAGGTTGTTGATATTTCTTCCAGCGATCTTAATTCCGGCTTGGGATTCATCCAGCCCAGCCTTTCGCATGATGAATTCTGCATATAAGTTAAATAAGCAGGGAGACAATATACAGCCTTGCCGTACTCCTTTCCCAATTTTGAACCAATCAGCTGTTCCATATCCAGTTCTAACTGTAGCTTCTTGTCCCACATAGAGATTTCTCAGGAGACAGATGAGGTGATCAGGCACTAAAAATTACTAAACCTAAACATTTAGCACCACAGATCTATTACAAGAGAAAGAATGAGGAAGATTGACTCTTGGGATGGGAATCCTCCTCCTTGGTGAATCCCTTTCAAAATATTTATTTTGCAATTATTTTGTAGATATTTTGTAGGGATGTGGTGGAACAGGGTTGTGTGTCATACTTTCATTACATGCTAAGCAAAATGTCCATGGTGGTTAAGGGGTGGAGAAAGGAGGGGCATGTATGCCGCAAGACCCTTGTGGGTGTGGTGTAGCTCTAGGGTAACGGATGCCGAAGGCATGTGACGATCTTCTCTCCCTTAGTTCCCAGGCATCTCCTTGTAGAGTAACCCTTTGAATTGTTTTTCGGGGCAGAGTAGACAGTACTGAGCTAGATAGATCAGAGGTCTGGCTTGCATCAAGGCAGCTTCTGATTTTGTGAAGTGTGGTGTTTTGATAGACATAAAGGTAAAGTGTAAAGGGACCCCCGACCATTAGGTCCAGTCGTGACCAACTCTGGGGTTGCGGCGCTCATCTCGCTTTATTGGCCGAGGGAGCCGGCATACAGCTTCCGGGTCATGTGGCCAGCATGACTAAGCCGCTTCTGGCGAACCAGAGCAGCGCACGGAAATGCCGTTTACCTTCCCGCCAGAGTGGTACCTATTTATCTACTTGCACTTTGATGTGCTTTCAAACAGCTAGGTTGGCAGAAGCAGGGACCAAGCAACGGGAGCTCACCCCGTCGCGGGGATTCGAACCACCGACCTTCTGATCGGCAAGTCCTAGACTCTGTGGTTTAACCCACAGCGCCACCCGCTTCCCAGCTTTGATAGACATAAATGGTAACAGTTCACTTATTACGGAATAAAGTAACTCATCGTTGTGAGAGCATATTGTTATACTTTTTTTGGGGGGGGGTGTCAGGCTGTATGGTACCTGTGGGTCCCTTCCAGGTCTGTGATTCTGTATCTATGAGGTTTGGATCTGTAAGAGAAAACCTGCTGAACCAGTCAAGCCAGCTCCTTTTTTAAGGTAGTGCCTTAGCTGCTCAGCTGAACGCTCATCCACACTTCTTGTCCTGACGCTTTTCCCTGGGGAAAATTTCTCTCAGCTGGAGCAAACAGCAATTTGGGGCTTCTCCAGATCAACATTTGCTCTGATATAGTGCTAAAGAGTGGGTTTTCCCTGGGAAAGGAGTGTGAGGCAAGGGGACCTGTGCCTAGAAAGCATGGGTCAAGCAAATACTGCTCAGATTAATGTTTTCTAGGCATGGGACAAGCCCTAAGAACAGTACATGTTAGCAGCATCTTAAAGAGTGAACTCTGTTGATACAGAAGCAAATGGATGGGCCTTCTCTCACCTGGCTGGATGTCCCATCATTGTAGGATAGAGAAATCATTTTCTCTTTCTTTCTTTCTTTCTTTCTTTCTTTCTTTCTTTCTTTCTTTCTTTCTTTCTTTCTTTCTTTCTTTCTTTCTTTCTGTCTTTCTCTCTCTCTCTCTCACCCACCCACCCACACCCACAATCAATCTTCTTGTTATATAAATTACTGGGACCTGGAAATATTGACTGATCAGCTGCTGACCTGGGCTCCTTTGAGAGTAATGCTGGGATATAAATTTAATAAATAAAACTGAAAAATCACCCATATACCTACCATTAGATCTTGAGATATGACAGCTTTGAGGGTTTATTTTTATTTTTTCAAAAAAACCAACTGGTATATAAATTTTAATTAATAAATAAGACAGTATCCAAACTTTCTGGAAACATACATTTTTGTTTCCCAAGCTTTTCTAGCTTGATGAAAAGGTCTCTGGGCCTGGATGTCCACTCGATGTTGTTTTTGAAGTTATATTTGGTTGTTCTTGTACTGTTTTTATAGCTGTTTTAACTGCTTTCAAGGATATGTCTGTGAAGTACCCTGGGACATATGTATGGAAGGCGGTTCACAAATAAATTAATGGGAATGATGAAGATGATTATCAGTGTTTGCCCGTCCTGTGTGGAAAGGCTCAAACTTCTTCTTTTAAAAATAAAATAAAATCCTGAAGCCATATTGCTGCTTCACTATCTTGTATAGTCAGAAGATTCGAAAATGTGATGTGTGTATCATGGTGATGATTTGTGGAGAGGGTCGTCTCCTCCATCCTGGCCTCCCCCATTCCTGCCTGTGAAGTTGGCAGCTTAACCAATTTTCCAGCTAGGTTGACAAAGGATCGGCAAGGTCAAGGGACCTGCCAGAGGTTACCCAGCAAGTCATTGGCTCAGCCAGGATTACAGCAGAGGTTAAACAGCTTAACGAAGGCAGAAAAAAAAATGATTAAATAATCTCTAATCAGGCTGACATCTTGCATACCAAACTTTTTACTTGGTGCAATTATAAATAACTAGCAGGAAAAAAAGCACTTTCTCTTAAGAGTGAAGCTGAGGAGGCTCTGCGCTGGATTCTCCAATAGATTCTTCTATAGTTGAAAGATTTGCCCATAGTTGGAAATGATACTCGTTTGCATGAGTGTGCTCTTTTTAAAATCTCTCCCACCCCCAATAATTTGTAAACATGGCTAAACTTCATCCATTCATTTGGATTGGCTCTGATAATAAGGGCAATAATGGAAGGTTCCTTGTAAGACTGCTTGCTGGTCTGATGTTAGGAAAGCTAAGGCAGTAATGTGGCTAGAGCAGTAACAGAGGAACTTTTGTTGTTGGACTATGGTTTAACATCATCCCTGATCATTGGTGAAGTTTGCTGGGGCTGATGGGAGCTTGAGCCTAACAACCCATGGAGGGCAACGTGTTCCCCACCCCCGAGGACTTGGGCTGGGGAGACCTGGATTTGAATCCCTCTGTGGACTGTGATGTTCAACCTTGGGATGGTCCATCTCTTCCTAGTGCAATAAACTGGGGTCACTCAGTCCATGTATGCCATCTTGAGCAACTTGGAGGAAGGGTGAGGCATAAAAGGATTTAAGTAGTTATGGCCATGAAGGAAGTATTGACCATGACGAATGGCTTAATGTAGAGAAGAGCAGGTTAAGAAGGATGGGGAGCATAAGGATGGTCTTAAGGTGATCAGTTGCCCATTGCAAAAAATAAGACAGATCGCATGAAATATGCATATATTAATCTGTATGTATACTCATGTATGTTTTTCATTTTAAATGTTACCCATTGCTTCTAAATCCATATCTAATTTAGAAACAATGGTTACAATTTAAATTGGGGGGACCCAGTTATGAAGCCTATGACCACCAGGTGTCCTGTGTTCCTGCTCAGTCCCCTGTCCAGGTGCTCATTGTTTGTGGGCAATTTCAGAGTCCACCTCTGGTCTCCCTTCTTAGGTTCCTTTACCTTTAAACTGGACTTGATCTGGAAAGCCTTTCAAATAGTACAGTTAAAACTATCTGGGTCTTCCTGTTAGGGCAGGGAAGGGGAACTCTATTGGCTCTATGGACCATCTCCTGATCTGGATCTCCTGTGGGGACCATATTTGGCAGGGCGCAGAGGGTTGCAAAGAGTTAATCAAAGTGTCTGAGGCTTCACCCACCCATTGGCTGATGGGCTGTACAGCCAAAGCCTGTTTTCTGCAGGCATCATATGTACAAACAGGTTTCTCAGGAACTGATCCAGTGGATGGGTGCAGGGCTGGATTAAGACCTCTAGAGGCCCTAAGCACTTAAAATATTTTGGTGCCCCCATATATATCTAATTCAAAATATAAACAATAATAAACCATAAAATAAAATTGTATTTTTCAAAATGAAACAAAACCTAATTACAAGAAAGGAGATCCTGACTAAATATTGGAAATAATTTTCTAATGGTGGAACCTTGAAAGGTGATGGGCTCTCCTTCATTGGAGGTTTTTAAACAGAGGTTGGGTGGCCATGTGGATTTTTAGCTGTTTGCTGTGTTGTGGGAGGTTGATATTAGATGATTGTTTGGGTCCCTTCCAACTCCACAATACTATGATTTCTCCAGTGAGCACTAGTTTGCCCTCCTTGTTGGGATTCTCACTACTAGGATACATTTTCATTTAGAGCGAGAATCTCCAGCCACTCTCTTCTCTTCAAGTCTCTGCTAATTGGCAGATAGATCTTTCCACAGTGTCACTAATGAAAGATTAGAGGCTGTTCCAGCGAGCCTTTGAAAAACCAGAACAAAATTGTATCAAAGTGCGCCAGTCCGCGCTGAGACTTTCTCATTGGCTGAGTGCACCTTTTACAGCCCAATGACTAATTTCTAAATCATACAAGCCAATTATGCCCACATTCCTTTGTGGCAGCTCACAATGATGAAGGCTGCAAAGGACACTTTAAATGGCCAGGAACACCTTAGGTTGCAAATATATAATTGGGATGACAGACACAATTAGCCATTAATAATTCCTTATAGCAGCTGATTAAAGTCTCTTTATCCTGCTTACCAAGATCAAAAGGTCACATGGTTGGAAAATAGAAGAATGAATTAAGATGGTTGAGCTGTTGATAAATGCTCTTCAAGAGAAGAAGCTGCTTTAGTTGTGACAAAAACATGTTTGTTTTTATTCTAGAGGAAATTAATATGGAATTACTGCCAGTTCCTCCTTCAAGATATATGCTGTTTCCTTGTTTTATTATGATTTGGTTTAAACTTTTGAGTTGTATCTGAGTAGGCCCATTGAAATGAATGGTCATGACTAACTTAGGCCCATTAATTTCTGTCATGATCAATAATTTTAATGGGTCGACTCAGAGTAAAAGTTGGTTGAATACAGCCTTTAGTTTTTATTGTAATATAGTACACAATGGGCCCTATGCATAATTGCAAGATGCCTTTGAATAGTTGCCATGTTGTAAGTGCTTCTGTGCCTTGTGCAAAGGGTGGCAAATAAGCCATCTAAATAAATGAAATATATATTTGAATAGGGAGGATGTGGAAATCATGGCAATATCTGCTTTACGAGGAAGCATAGAGTGGTGGAATGAAATAATCCCTTTTCATTTGTACAAAAGGGACAAAGAGTTTTGGCCTAGCCATTTATCAGATCTGCTGGTTTTCTAGCTGTGTAGAATTTTATTTTTCCATGTGCCCTGTGAGCCCGCCTTCCACTTGCAGTAGCAAAGCCTAAGTGATGCATCCCAGATCAGGGATGTATAAACGCGCCTCAGTCTCTTCCAACATTCATTTGCAGTTCCGTCTTACATTTTCCATTCTCTTGCAGTTGGTTTATTTTGCATTAAGTCTGTCTTCCAGAAAGATATGGTGAGTTGTTGTTTTTTTATGTAAGGTAAAGGGACCCCTGACCATTAGGTCCAGTCGTGACCGACTCTGGGGTTGTGGCGCTCATCTCACTTTATTGGCCGAGGGAGTCGGCATACAGCTTCCGGGTCATGTGGCCAGCATGACTAAGCCGCTTCTGGCGAAACCAGAGCAGCACACGGAAACACCGTTTACCTTCCCGCGGGAGTGGTACCTAGTTATTTATTTGCCTTTGACGTGCTTTCAAACTTCTAGGTTGGCAGGAGCAGGGACCGAGCAACAGGAGTTATATCATAGTAAAAACACACATCTTAGCCATCAACCGATATTTGCAAATCAGTTTCCTTCCCTCTGTGTTCCCTTCCAAAATGAATGAATGTTCGGTGGGGTTCGTCCTTTGCAGCAAAGACAAGTCTTAAAGGCAAAGTCAATGAAGTGGATAATTGCCCATCACAAAACCATCTAGGGTTGCAATCTTAGCCATGTCTACTCAGAAGTAAATATCACTGAATTTAGTGGGACTTACTCCCAGGTGAGTGGGGCTAGGGTGCTGTCTTGGCTTCATTTCACAGTTGAATATAAACTTGTCATCCTCTCTCATTTGGGAGGGACAGTTTAGCATTTGCTGGGTTATATGAATTATTCCTTCACTCAGTGTAACTTAACCAAATGGAAGTCCTTTTTTAAACTGCAGCATTTTATTTCTAGAAGGTCCAGAGGGTGGCAACACAACAACTGGCCTTTTTAGTGGTGCCTCCACACTTTTGGAATACCCAGGGGAAGCTCACCTGGCATCATCATTAGTGCCAGGCTAAAGCATTTCTTTCTTTCTTTTTGCCAGGCCTTTAGCTCTTAATTATCTGTGGCCTCTTTGAGTGGGTAGGATGTTTTAATCCTGCCTTTTAAAAATAGGATTGCCTTTTAGATTTTTCTTTATTTTTCTTTTATGCCAGTTTTGATATACGCATTTGTTGGTTTATACACCCTGTCCATCCCACCACTTTTGCCAGCAGTGGAACACTCCTCTCTCACAAAGTTTTGACGAGGGGGGGGGCATTCTAGCATGCAGCATTGCCGCACTTGACCCTGGGACAGAAAGGACAAGCTCCAAGGCCTTGTGGAACGCCCCCTCACAGAAACTTGGTAAAAGGAGGGGGGAGTTCCAGTGGTGGCAGAAATAGTGTGGTGGCAGCAGGGGACAGAAGGTGGAAAAATAGGACAGGCCGCCCCCGATTGCAAGTGGCCCACATGGACTGTTTATTGGCAGGTTGGGGAATTCTGATTATTTGGTCATCATGCTGTTTAGTGCTGTATAGTGTAAGGGACGCGGGTGGCACTGTGGTCTAAACCACTGAGCCTCTTGGGCTTGCCGATCGGAAGGTCGGCGGTTCAAATCCCTGTGACGGAGTGAGCTCCTGTTGCTCTCTCCCACCTTCTGCCAACCTAGCAGTTCGAAAGCACGCTACTGCAAGTAGATAAATGGGTACCGCTGTGGCGGGAAGGTAAATGGCGTTTCTGTGCGCTCTGGCTTCTGCCATGGTGTCCCGTTGCACCAGAAGTGGTTTAGTCATGCTGGCCACATGACCTGGAAAGCTGTCTGTGGACAAATGCCAGCTCCCTCGGCCTGAAAGCGAGTTGAGCACCGCAACCCCATCATCGCCTTTGACAGGACTTAACCGTCCAGTGGTCCTTTACCTATACAGTGGTACCTTGGGTTACAGACGCTTCAGGTTACAGACGCTTCAGGTTACAGACTCCGCTAACCCAGAAATAGTACCTCGGGTTAAGAACTTTGCTTCAGGATAAGAATAGAAATCGCACGGCGGCAGCAGGAGGCCCCATTAGCTAAAGTGGTACCTCAGGTTAAGAACAGTTTCAGGTTAAGAATGGACCTCTGGAACGAATTAAGTTCTTAACCTAAGGTACCACTGTAGTGCTGTTCTGGGCATGTATATAAATAATGGACTGATGCAGCTGCCTGCATTTCTGGATTCCCCTTGAGGGTGTGGCTATTAATTGACAAAAGCCTTTTGGTTGTAAAAGGGGGGAGGAAATGGAAACCTGGCTGTACCTATAACAGTTACATTGTAAAGCTCATGAAAGACTAGCTACACAATTTGTTTGTAACTGGAGGTGTCCCTGAGCATTTGCGAGCTGTGCGTACAATTGCACAGTGAATCAAGGGCATTGCATTGCTCTGTTGCACATGTCTGTCCCAGTCTTCCTTGCTCCTTCAACTGCTTATGTTGGACTCTGTTTGCAAAACATCTCCCTGCAGAATCTCAAGCATCGTTGCTACTTTCTTGGTGCCCTGCTAATTCCATTAAGCAGCCACTGGAAGAAAACGTAGCCCTGAGCACGGCTTGGCTCATTTTTAACATGGATATACAATGCATGCCATTCCTTCAGTCCAAGACTGGGGGGTGGGGAGGGCAAGAAACTTGCACTCTATTCCTCACTTCGTCTTAATGTTTCTGAAATTTAGTCCTTTTACAAAGCAAAAAATAAAAATAAATGGATTGATCCCACCAAAGATCAGCGGAGGAATCTGTTACCTGTTTCAAGTCAGCTTGGATTTGCCCAGCTTTAAGAGACTAACCCCACCACTCCCTGGTCCTCCTTCTCTTTCAGATATGGAGGAGTTGGCTAGAGAGAGCATCACCCTGTTAGCCAAGCCTACTCTGGAGTCAGGTAGCCCCAATCTCTCCTCCGCTGGGGCTGTCTTTATCATGCTGAAATCTGCCCTTGGAGCAGGGCTCTTGAATTTCCCCTGGGCGTTCAATAAGGCTGGAGGAGTCACCTCGGCTGTCCTTGTGGAGCTGGTAAGTGCCAAAGGAAAGACATCCAGATCTCTTGCAGAGTGACAGGCTGCTGGAATAGATAGGTGGGTGGAGGGTTTGAGGGTCTGGTCCTAGCCAAGTGGATTTGGAAGCAAACCTCATTGCATTTTTAATAGTTTATTTTACTTCTAATCTACCTAGTACTGCCTTCTTTTGCTTTGCAAGGCTCCCCTCCCAGCCATGGTATGTGGATAGGGATGGGGAAATCTATTAATTTCAGTTTCTCATTTTTCCACTCATAAATTCAGGACACCCCATTTCTGCAGCAATTTGCACATACATTTTTTAAAAAGTCTTCGTGAAAATTTGTCAGCATATTTCTGTATGCAATTGTGCCTGATACATTTTTGCAAATAAATTTCCTAAATATTATACATTTTTGCATGTTGTTTTCCCTAATATGTGGATTATTTTGCACGCTTCTCCCTCAAATGCACATTCCCCACCTCACTTTATTTATGGAGCACTTGCATCACAACATTCAGAGGAGCATGAATTTGGGAGCAATGCTGTGTTTTGGTTCACGTACTGTTTTTGAAAGTGGGAATCAGGTTGATTTGCACTCACGCTTGAATTGAACAGGATTTCTCCCCAATTCCTGATGTGCAGATGATTCTCTAGTGGTTTCTGCAAATACACGCAGTACTCTTCTCTTTTGCGGGGGGTGGGGCAGGAAAACAGTTTCCTAGTTTTGATTCCTACATTACAGAATTGAAAAAAAAAAAAGGAACTGGAACAGGATTCTGGAAATGAGCTTTATTTATTAGTTTCATTTATGTCCCACTTCCCCCCAAGGAAAACAGAGCATTGTACATGGCTCCCTGCTCTGCATTTTATCTTCACAACAACAACCCTGTGAGGGAGGTTGAGGTAAGGGAGAGAGTGACTCAGGGTTATGCAGTAACCTTCAAGGGTGAGCATGGTCTTGGAACCTGGGTTTTCCCAGTCCTAGTTCAACCCTCACGGACTCTCTTTGGTGATCACTGGCAGAAAGCAAGCCCTGAATTTTCAGTATGATTTGGGGCTGCTGCAAGCTGAGTCTCGCATTGTGGTGGGGAAAGAACTATTTGGTACTTGACTCTATTTCTACAGCTTATTAAACGCAAACTTATTATAGTATCTTTACTTAAGTGCCTGGTGCAACTAATGGATTTTAACACTCCAAAATATGCTGTGACTTAGGGATGAATTATTTTGTCAATGCCAGTTCCCCTCTGTTTCTCCTTTTTCCAATCTTAAGTTCGGTTTTCTACGTTTCTGCTCAGGTTTGTGATTTCTTAACATTTTAGCACACGTTTCTCCTAATACATTCATTTTTGCAAGCAGTTCTTCCTAATACAATGCATTTTCGTATGCATGGCCTTGGTTAGAGTACTGCATCACAGAATTCGGAGGAGTGCAAATTTTTGAAAGAGATCTGTTTTTCGGTTTGCACTCTGTTTGCCTCATTTCTTCCCCATTTTAAACTTGGACTTCTGCTTTGCTGCTGGGACCAAGAGAGGACAGCTTGGCTAGTGAGTTTATGTCTGGGCTAGCATCAGTGGTCAGGTTCTCTGAGGTTCTCCCTACTTGAGATGTTGATAGCATTCACAAGCTCTTTCGTTCACTTATCACCTGTGTCTTCCATTATAGCTGCTTCTTAAGTGAGCAAAATCCTTTCTCCATGCAGTGACTGGCTCTTGCATGTGTTTTGACAATGTCAGAAAAACCTTGCTGTGTCAGGTAAAAAACCCATCTAGTCCAGGGTTTTGTTCTGACAATCACCAAATTTCTCTGAAAAGCCAACAAGCAGGACAATGGCAATCCCACATCATTTGGAGGACTTGGGACTGCAGTCTGGATGTGCAACATTTCTGAATTAGTGTGATAGTTTCTGCTTGCCTTGCTGGTATCTAGCCTGTCTAGGGATGTGGCTTCCCATCTTCCATTGAGTGATCTACTTTTGAAACTGCTGCTTGTTTGTTTTGCTGTTAGTTTTGCTTCTTACTTTGGTTTTTTTCAATATTAGGTTGCATTTTGTTTCATTTTCAGGTTGTACGTTGACTTAATCTTTACTGTGTCAGTTGTGTATGTAAGATACCTTGTATATTTTTCTAGAAAGGTGGGGTATAAATTCAATAACAGTAATAATAATAAAATCTAAAACAGTTGGTTGGGTTCCTGTCCTGCAAAACTACATTTCCGCTTCAAAACTTGCACATCTTTTAATTTAGCAATGAGCTTCTCCACGTGTGTGTGCGTGCAGGGTGAAGGAAATGTATTATAATAATAATTTATAACAATTTATTATTTATACCACACCCATCTGGCTGAGTTTCTCCAATATGCTACTGAATATAACAGACAAAAACGCTCTTTATTAGGGAATATTGCTTGCATAAATGTCTGTGTTAGAAGAAATGCACACTAAAATGCTGATAATTTGTGAGTAAAAAGAAACAGCAAACTGATTTAGAAATCTGGCATGAGAGACTGAACTGTCCTTTCCTAACCCTCTCTGGTGTGCTCCAGCTCCATGGATTTGAAAGGACACGTAAGTGTTTGCAGAGGCCATGAAATGATGATGTTGCTGGATCACCCTGGGTCATTGCTTATCTTTCCATAAACACGAACCTCTGAGATTATCGCTCCTGGCGTAATCTCTGACCTTCATGGTCCTGTTGCAAACAAACCCGTGTGAGGCATTTGCTTCGTCTTGCTATGTTAGGCCAGCCTCCTCCAGATGCATTGGACTACAACTCCTATCAGCCCCAGCCAGCATGCCCAAAATACCTGGAGGGCACCAGGTTGGTATTCTGGCAACTGGCATGCTGAGGCACAGTGCCTCCCACGCTGGAGGTTGCACAGGGGATGTTAGGATATTTCCGTTCCACCTTAAAAGGGAGCAGGCTTTGTGAGTCAGAGTCTGCGTATTTCCTGTTCACAGGATGTTTATGTTTTCTGTTGCTTTCGTTTTCTCTCTGGTGTCGCAGACACTAAATCAGCAGGCAGTCATGTTTTTCTGTGTTCTGATCAACGCTGAATAAACTTGTAAATAATGCTCTCCTGACTGCAACTTTTGGCTGTGCTAATCTGCTGATAGAGTGTGCATGAGCTCTGGAATGTGGCAAGAAATCTTCTAGAAACTCATGTCGCTAATTGATGATACTGCGTACCTACGGGAGGTCGATGGATCGTCCGGCAGACGGCTTAGGGGCCTTGATGGACTTTATCTCCCTGGCAGTATCCCAACAACAGGTTTCGGGCCCAGATTCACAGCACTTACAGGAGAGTAAGACTGCGACAGACTGCTGAAAGGTATGTGGAAGAAAAGCGAAAGTGAGGCTTTTCTGTTTGCCGAGGCAAGGGCCTTTGAACTCCGGCAGATTAATGGATCTGGGAGACGCGCCCAGAAGGCTTCGTGATTAATGAGCTGCTAAGATAAGGGGTCTTTGAAGTGAATAAGACTCACGGCTCAAATAGAAACCTGGAATGGAGTTTTTCCAAGCTTCTGAGGCTGCTGAGTGCCCAAAGTTAAATCGGCACAACTATCAGACCTGGGCAAAATGGTGTGAGAGTTTGCTGCGTCAGTTTGGAGTGTGGCATACTGTGTCTGAGGCCCCTCCAGTTCCTCTGACAGAAAGATGGGAGTCCGAAAATTTGAGGGCGATAGACGTAATCGTCTTGTCCGTCTCTCTGGAGGAAATAAAAACGCTAGCTGGCAATCTGACTGCACGAAAGATGTGGCATGCTTTGAAGATAGCCCATCTGCCAGTCATCCCAGCCCAGAGTTTGACTGCATCGGAGGTCCTGGCTGTTTCCCAGAATGCGAGTGAATGCAGGGATGCCGAGGGCACCGGTTGCAAGCTGCAGGGGGGAGCTGACTGTCACGTCATCCCAGGCAGCATTCCAGCCTCCAGGGGGAGCCAAGGAGTCAGCAGCTGAGAGCTCTGTTTCTCATGGGAACCAAGGTCATCGCCTTTGCAGAGGCCGGAAGAGCAAAGGTAAACAGGGGCAGACGCCTGCAGATGGCCAGAAGCAGAGGGAGGGTGAAGAGCCCACGCCAGAGGAAAACAAGGTTTTGTTTGCTGGCAAAGCTTCACCAAAGGCTAAAGGCAAGTCTGATGGCCAGGAGCAGGGGGGAAAGCTGCAAAGCCCACGCCAGTGGAAAACAAGGTTTTGTTTACTGGCACAGCTTCACCAAAGGCTAAAGGCAAGTCTGATGGCCAGGAGCAGGGGGCAAGCTGCAAAGCCCACGCCGGTGGAAAACAAGGTTTTGCTTGCTGCAAAGGCTGCTCCAAAAGCCAAGGCCAGGTTTGTTGTTGATTCAGGCTGTACCCGCCATATCTCAAAGGACCGCCACCTATTTATCTCCTTCAAACCTCAAGAAGGTGAGATCCACCTGGCTGATGGAAAGACGTTGCGAATTGCGGGAGAAGGGACTGTGAAACTGGCAAGTCTGCACACAACCATCAAAGATGTACTGTATGTTCCAGGCGCTGCAGACAATTTGCTCAGTGTCCCACAGTTGACTGGGCGTGGTTTTGAGATTTCCTTCAAGAGGAGCGTTTGTGTCATCAGGAAAGGCAAAGAGGACATTTTGCATGCAAAGTTTATGGATGGCTTGTTCTGTATAACTTATGACGACAATGGTGCTGTTGTGTCTAATGCTGATTCTTGTTGTGTTGCACAAACTAACAAAGTTCTTCATGCAGGATGCATTCACGATGCACATCGAAGGTTTTGCCATCTCTCTTGGAAGGCACTGGCCAAGATGCCAGAGATGGTTGAGGGTTTGAACATCAAACCCTGTAAGTTTCACATGAAATGTGTATCTTGTGCAGAGAACAAGGTGAAGGTTGCCCAAAAGGCAAGGAGTCTAGCAGGCAGGCTTCCAAACCCTACCAGCTAGTGCACGCAGACCTGGTTGGTCCACTTGCGCCCTCTTTGGGTGGAGCAAGGTACTTCATGGTTCTAATTGATTCTTTTTCCAGGTACATTCATGTGTTTATGCTCGAGCAGAAATCGCAAGCGTTTCCTAAGTTCAAGGCATTCTGTGCTTGGTTGGACAATGTTCATGGTAAACGCATTGGCTGTCTGTTTACTGATCGAGGCGGGAGTTCACTTCTCAGCAGTTTGAAGCTTTCCTGACTGAGAAGGGAATCCAGCATAGCCTCTCAAGTCCTGGATCTCCATGGGAGATTTGTGAGCAAGCAAAGCAAACGTTGCTGCAAGGACTGAAAACATTGTTGCATGATGCCAATCTCCCTGAGAAGTTTTGGGGGGAGTCTTTGAACTCGTTTGTTTACACTTTTAATCGCAGGTTGTCATCACCTATTGGTTGTACCCCTATGAGAAGATGTTTGGTAAGAAACCCAACATCAAGCACATGAGAATCTTTGGTTCTGACATGTGGGTACACACCCCACAGAGCAACAAGCTTGGGAAGCGTGGGGCACATGGTTTGTTCATGGGGTACGAAAAGGTGCATACAGGGTGTGGATGACCAACTCTAAGTCCATTAAGTTCACAAAGAGTGTTGAGTACAATCCTAAGTGGGGGGAAAATGTGGGAATTTTCCAGAGTTACCCAGAGGAGGATGAAGGTGATGTCAAAGAAGCAGCTAAAGCTGAGGAAGCTGCTGAGGATGATGATGATGATGATCAGAGTTCGGATTCCAGTTCAGTGGGCGGCGCTGCTGCTGATGTCGGTGACAGTGATGACACAGCAGACTACAAGAGCGCAAAGGCCTCAGTCAGACCATCTGATGCGTCTGACAATGAACTGGAAGAACCACTGTTCACCATTGGTCACTTTTCTCCTAAGAAAGAGGAGATGAGTCCAGAAGACTTGCGTCTAGTACGCAGATCTGAGAGAGCCACGAAGGGCAGACCTCCAAAGAGATTTGCTGATGAGTTTGCTAAGACAGCAACTGCTGTTCTTAGTAGCTCAGAGAAGGTGTGGGAACCTTCAAGCTTCAAAGAGGTTCAGGAGTTAACCTCTAAAGATGCTGAGCCTTGGCTTAATGCCATGAAGGCTGAAGTTGATTCCTTGAACAGGAACCAAACTTGGGAACTGGTACCGGTAGTCCCAGGAATGAGACTGGTTGGCAGCAAATGGGTCTTCAAGGCCAAGACAGACCAGAATGGCAAGGTTGTCAGACACAAAGCCAGATTGGTTGCCAGAGGTTTTTCACAGGTACCAGGACAGGATTACCACGAGACCTACTCACCCACCGTCAAATATGAGAGCATTCGGCTGATGCTCAAGATAGCTGCAGAGGAGAAACTGCATGTTTCCCATCATGACATTAATACAGCTTTTTTGTACGGGATTCTGGGGGAGGAGCTGTTTATGCTTCCACCTGATGGAATGCAGATACAGAAGGGAATGGTCTGTAAACTGCGGAAATCCTTGTATGGTCTCAAGCAGAGTGCTAGGTGTTGGAACACAAAGCTCACTGAGACGTTGCTTTCTCTAGGTTTTCACCAGGGCAAAGCTGATCCATGTGTGTTTGTCAAGGAGGAGGGGCAAAACAAACTGTATTGTTTATGTTTTGTTGATGATCTTCTGATGTTTTGGAAGAATCAGGCTTTCTACCAAAGCACCCTAGCTCAGCTGAAGGAGCACTTTGACATGAAGGATCTTGGTGAGGTATCCAACTATCTTTCTCTGCAGGTGGAGAGGGACCAAGCAGGTAATTTTCTGGTACACCAAACACAGAAAATTGCTGATGTATTAACCAGGTTGAATTTGGTTGATGCAAACCCAGCAGACACACCGATGGTGACAGGTTACCAGGTAGACAGTACTGCTGAAGCGTTTTCTGACACTACGCTGTACAGATGCATTCTAGGCAAGTTGAATTTCATTGCTAGATGCTCAAGACCTGACATAGCTGTAAGCTGTAACCTGCTTAGCAGACATGCCAACAATCCTACTGTTCAGGATTGGAAAGCTCTGAAGCGCATAGCCCGCTATTTGAAAGGGACTTTGCACTACAGGCTGAGGTTCACCAGTCAGAAGACTGGAGGTCTTGAAATCTTTGCAGATGCAAGTTTTGGAAGTGACACCACGGATGGTACAAGCACTTCTGGAGTATGCTACATGTACAACCACTGCCTGTTTGACTGGTTGTGCAAAAGCAGACGACAGTGAGCCTAAGTTCCTGTGAAGCAGAACTCAATGCTCTGTCATTTTCACTCATGGATTGTGAATGGTTGATGCAACTGTTTAAGGACATCGGAGTTTCTGTGAAATGTCCTGTACAAGTGTATCAAGACAATAGATCGTGTTTGGCTTTGCTGAACTCGGAGAGTTGCAAGCAAAGGACCAAGTACTTGCAGATTAAGCTACATCGTGCAAGAGAGTGTATTCAGAAAGGACTCATTCAGGTGTCCTACATGCCAGGAAATGAAATTCCTGCTGATCTGTTGTCTAAGGTTGTTAACAGAGAACAACTTAAGGTTTATGTACAAAGGTTGCAATTGGGTTGAACCACAGGTACTACAGGTTACACGGAAAGGGGGAGGATGTTAGGATATTTCCGTTCCACCTTAAAAGGGAGCAGGCTTTGTGAGTCAGAGTCTGCGTATTTCCTGTTCACAGGATGTTTATGTTTTCTGTTGCTTTCGTTTTCTCTCTGGTGTCGCAGACACTAAAGCAGGCAGTCATGTTTTTCTGTGTTCTGATCAACGCTGAATAAACTTGTAAATAATGCTCTCCTGACTGCAACTTTTGGCTGTGCTAATCTGCTGATAGAGTGTGCATGAGCTCTGGAATGTGGCAAGAAATCTTCTAGAAACTCATGTCGCTAATTGATGATACTGCGTGCCTACGGGAGGTCGATGGATCGTCCGGCAGACGGCTTGGGGGCCTTGATGGACTTTATCTCCCTGGCAGTATCCCAACAGGGGCATGGTGGCTAGTAGGCACTGGAAGCATCTAATTCTAGGAAGGTTGCCTAATTTGCCTGCTTAGTTGAGCTCACCCTGATCATGGCTACTCCTGTTACTCTTCTATGGGCTCATGGCTCTCTCCTCTTTGTCTCTGGGTGTTTCTCCCTTTGGCAGGGTTCCTTGATATTCCTGATTAGCGGCTTGGTGATTCTGGGTTATGCTGCCTCCATCAGCACCCAGACAACGTACCAGGGTGTGGTGAGAGAGATCTGTGGGGCTGCCATTGGGAAGCTTTGCGAAGTCTGCTTCATTCTGAACCTGTTCATGATCTCGGTGGCCTTTCTTAGAGTCGTGGGAGACCAGCTAGAAAAATGTGAGTTCTTTGACCCCAGAACCCTTTCAGCATCCTCTAAAATCCCCAGCTGTTCCTCTTTTAATATTTTTTATGCAGCTCTTTGTGTAACTAATACCAGTGCTGTTTTTGTGCATAATTAATGACAACACGATCCGCATATTAATATATGATAAAATCACTGGAAGCCATTAATGCATCATACCAAGCCTGTGAATTAAAAGACAGCAAATGTCTGAGTGAGCAGGTACCGTATTTTTCACTCTATAGGATGCACCGGACCATAGCACGCACCAGAACATAGGAGGGGGAGAACAGGAAAAAAAAAAATTCTCCCCCTCTCTGCTCAGCGCCCCTTCAGCGAAGCGGGGGGAGAAACGGAGCCCCTTCCATTTCTCCTCCCACTTCGCTGAAGGGGCGCTGCGCAGAGAGGGAAAACTGTGCAGCGCCTCTCCAGTGAAGCGAAGCCTGGAGAGCAAGAGGGATCGGTGTGCACTGACCCCTCTCGCTCTCCAGGCTTCAGGCGGCTATCCGCAAGCCTTCAGAGCGCAGCGGGAACTCCTGCGGCACTCCAAAGGCTTGCAGATAGCTGCCTGAAGCCCCCGGAGCGCAGGGAACTGCTGCTGCGCTCCGGGGGCTTCAGACAGCTATGTGTGTGTCCTGTGGAGCAAATGCAGGCTCCTTGGCCTCAGTGAAAGCAACGCGAAGCCTCTGGAGCACAGGGGGAGCTCTCCCTCTGTGCTTCGGAGGCTTTGCGTTGCTATCGCTGAGGCCAAGGAGCCTGCATTTGCTCCACAGGACGCACACACATTTCCCCTTCATTTTTGGAGGGGGAAAAGTGCGTCCTATAGAGAGAAAAATACAGTAAGTTTTAAGCTGGTGCTCAAAACTCATCAGAGTCAGGGGCCTGACTTACTCCAGACAGGAGGGAATTCCAGTGGAATCCATTAGGAAAAATAGGGTGCTGCCCCACCAACTTCAGCCTGCTTTCTGCAAACCCCCACCTGTCTGCTTCCTTAGGAGTCCAGGGCATGGCCCTGCCTTTCAGCTTCCTCCCCTTAGTTTCAGTGTTGCCCTTGTAGAGCTCGGCAGGAAGGTGATGGAGGCAGAACTTGAATTAGTTGGTTTTGCATGTCATTAGTTCTGGCGCCACCTACTTACTTCTGGGACTCCCTGCCTTCTGTCCCACCAGCCCTGATGGGCACCAGTCACCCCTGAGGAATTCCACAGACATGGCACCGCCATGGAGAAGTCGCCCACCCCACTGTTGGTAGCTGCATAATACGTCTCGGCTGGTAGCCAGACAACGAGGAAAGCCTCATTGCCTCCTTATGTTCCCTTTCCCCCCAGTGTGTGATTCTTTCTACCCTAATGAAACCTTGAGTGGTGGCATCTCTCATCAGCATTGGTTCACGGACCATCGCTTCACCTTGTCTGCTTTGTGTGCCTTGGTTATCTTTCCCCTCTCGATTCCAAGGGAAATTGGATTCCAGAAATACACAAGGTAAGAGCTCTGTTGTTCTTGTTCTTGTGATCTCTGTGGCCTGGAGACTGGGCCAAATGGTGAACAAACTTGCTCCTAAGGGCTCAGCAGGGGCACTGACTTGCCCTCCCCCCCACACATTGAGGGCGCGCAGTCGTGTGACATGTCACGTGACGAATCACGTGATACCACCCAGCAGAGTGGGGATGTGAACTCTGGTCTCCCAGGTCCTGGCCCAACACTCTGACCAACTAGATACTGTATGTGAACCATCATCAATTATGTGCTTCAGATGTCTTGTAAAGACCTATCCTTTTGCACAGATAGGTACCCTGTATCACTGGATTCTTGTTTTATCTTCTTTTTTTTGCCTTTGTGCTGATTTTTATTGTTTGTACACCACTTAGGAATTTTAAAAATATTAAGTTGTTTGGAACTCATTTTAAACAATAATTTTGTTCGACCCCTAGCAGTCTCAGCTATCATGATAGGAAAATGTAATCCAACAAGGTCTGGAGAGCCATTGGTTCCTCACCATTAGGAACATAGCAAGCTGCCTTATGCAGAGTCAGACCCTTGGTCCATATAGCTCAGCACTGCCTGCAGTGACTGGTGTTGGCTCTTCAACTACCTGGAATTGCTGGGGATTGAACCTGTGACCTTCCCCACTGCAAGGCAGATGCTCTACCACTGAGCTATGGCTGCCCTTCCCTGTTTTAAGGCACGTCATGAGGTGTATCTACAGGTGTCCCCAGCATCAGAATTGAGGTGTGTGGTTACCAAGGTGAGGAACCTTTCCAGTGGTGACTCCTGTTTGTAGAATGTCCTTTCTGGGCAACGTAAGCATCTTCTAGTTCACAGGATAAAAGCTTTTCATTTGCTGGAACGTCTAATTAGAATCTCTATCCTGGATGCAGTTTTGCTGTTTTTGCTTCTATTTGCCACATCCCTACTGTAAAATACTCTACGGTGCCCTTTTGAATGCAGGGGAGCATTGAGCTCCTTTGAGGCAAAGTCTTTTAATTTTTCTGTTTGTGTGTTCCAGCATCCTTGGTACTTTGGCAGCCTGCTACCTGATGCTTGTCATTGTAATAAAATACTACCTCAGAACCGATTACGTAGTCAAGCATGAACATCGCCGTTCCTCCGGGTAAGTGTTGGCGTGGCTGGCTGTTGGGCTGGTAGTGGAATTATCAAACATCAGTCCCATGGGCACGATTCATCCACCCCATTGGCTTGCATGGACGTGCTGCTGTGCTGCTGTCATGTTGGAACCTGCCATAATTCAGTTCATAGAATTATAGATTTGGAGGAGCCTCAAGGGCCACCCAGTTCAACCCCCTGCAATGCAGGAAGTTGTTTACCTCTTAAGAGTCTCCAGGGAGCTTGGCTGTTGATTCTCCTATGCACATGGCCCATGTCAATACAGTGGTACCTCAGGTTAAGTACTTAATTCGTTCCGGAGGTCCATTCTTAACCTGAAACTGTTCTTAACCTGAAGCACCACTTTAGCTAATGGGGCCTCCCACTGCTGCCACACAGATTTCTGTTCTCATCCTGAAGCAAAATTCTTAACCTGAGGTACTATTTATGGGTTAGCGGAGTCTGTAACCTGAAGCGTATGTAACCTGAGGTAGCACTGTATCCCTGAAGTGTGTAAAATAGATTGTCATCCCCCCCCCCCGCCTCTCTCTCACACACACCAGTTACCTGCAGCAGATGACATTGTTATAACTGAATCGGTACCCAAGAGTGATAGTGTTTCATTCAGTGTTGCACATGCGGAGTTCCACTTGAGCAAGGCGACTTCACCTTCCTCTTCTCTCCTTGCATGCACCCAAAATCTGCTCTGCTCTGGTCTGCAAGCTTCTGGAGCTGATTTTGAGGGTGCAGGAGCAAATGCCGAGGAGAGCAGGGTGAAGTTATGTTGTGCAAGCTGAATGGCTGTGTTGGCTACAACCCGTAATGACATATGCTTGATGCAGAAGGGACCTGCTTTCTACTGCTTAATTATCTGCAGAGTTGGGGGTATCTGCAGACATTTTTCTCCCCGAGGCAGAGTAGCAGATGGTGCCCTGCTCCACTTGAAGTCAAGGTGCACAGTGTCCAAGGCAAGACACATTATTTTTGCATGTGGAGCAGAGAACCCCCAACAAAGCATATCTCTGCCCCACTTCTGGGGTAATGAAAAAATACAGCAGTAAATTTACACATTTCTGTAGGTAGTTTATGTACTTCTTCATACTGCAAATAAGTCTGTAAGTGTTTTGCTGCATTATAATAACATCACAAAAAATACCAAAAAAATACAATGTTTACAACTAGTAAAGTGTGGCAGATGGACATTGGATCATCCCCCTGAAGACCTTGCAACCAATTAGTGCTGGGTGGAGTGTCCAGCAATCAGGGGAGAGTGGGGAGTTAAAATCTAGAAGCTGCTAGTTTAGCAGTTGGGACTTGGAAAGTGTTCAGACTGGGCTTGGATTGGACTTGGCAAGGGCTTGGCTAAGATATTAGCTGGGTGGTTAGGAGTTTGCTAGGCAGGGCAAACCAGATAGCTTCCTTCAAGGGAATGAAGAGATCCCAGAAAGAGTCTAGAAGTGTTTCACTGGATTAACAGATCTAGGAGGAATCAGTTTATTTAGAAACAGTTTTGATGTGGAAGTCGTAAATAAAGTTCCTTATTGCGTCTGTAAAAGAGATTCTTACTTTTGTGCCTGATCAGAGTAACCACTAAGCGTTAACCCTCATTGAGTGTGCATAAATAAAACTTGTTTTGTTTCCAACGTGTCTCATCCTTAATTTATTACCAGTTTAAGGGATAAGTGATCACAGTTTCCCTTTAATTGATGTTAAAGTCCTTGCTGCTGAATATTAGTAAATGCTGCCACATGCAGAGAATCTCCAACCTCCCAAGTGTTGCTGGCAGGGAGTATCTAATTTTAAACACCTAAAACCCGTCACACTGCATCTTTGTTGAGGGGGGAGTCTGTCACAGTCAGATCCACTTCAGCATCAATACAAACTTAGAGTCACCAGCAAATGGAGACCGTAATAACCGCTAGCAGAACAAAATGCAGGAATACAGCAGAGGCAACCAGTCCCACTTGCAAGAATATAAGCACCAAAAGGTGGGCAAATGTTGCACACTCCCTAGCTATGTCACAGTGCCCCTGGGTCATAGGCTGGGCAAGTCCCCTGTCTGGAACTGCAGAGAGCTGCTGCCAGTCATTGGAGGCAATACTGGTCCAGATGGACAAAGGGTCTGATGTTATGGGACCACTGAGAACTGAGTAATCTTGAATAGTACAGTAAAGGGCATATGGGGCTCATCAACCTGGGAAGGTAGCCCATCTAGGAGAAGGAAAACACTGATCTTTAACCTCTGCTGCCTTGCAGGGGGTGAAGGCTAAGGAGTAAACCCTACACAAATTCGGAGTGTAGTCCCTAAGATGGTTGGATCTTGCCTTGTACAGCTCCTTTTGGCAACTTCTGCAGCCAAGCTGGTGCCAAACGTATTGCTCTGCTTTCCTTTGGTCCACATTGTGAGGCCAAGTGGGGAATCTTGCACCATGGGGAGGTCACTTCAGTGCTGCTAACGCAGTGGTGTGACTTCACCCTCAGAGGCACACTCCATTGTCTCTTGAGACAGACGGATGCCAATTACAACAACAACAGGTGGTGTTGGAGGAGGAATTGGCAGGTAGGGGTTGTAATTTGCCCTCACTCAGTAGAAGAAGCTGCCATATATGTACTGAGTAAGGCCCTTGGTCTCTTGCTTGGTTGGCTGTTGACATCTGAGTTGACCAGCTCTGATGCTAACACACACCCTTTATCACATTTGCAGGGTCTCTTCCTGGGCTTCAATGTTCAGCGTTATCCCAACAATCTGCTTTGGATTTCAGGTAAGAAGTTTAACCTTTTCTCCTCCTTTCTTGGTTTTCTCCCTCTCCCATTGTTAAAATAGGCTTCCAAGTCATTTTTATTTATTTGTTTCCACTTGAAATGATGCAAGATTCTACATTCAAGTTTAACTCCTCTGATATAATAAAAAAAGGGAGTCCTCTTTTGCTTGACTTCCTGAAACAAGTGGTGTGTAAATCACAACCAAGCACAGCGCTGCTGATCAGTGGAGGAGACAATTGTGGGACATTGGCCAGAAACATCTGATAGCCGCCCCTCTCTTTTAACGCAATGGGTTCTGAGCAGGAGCAGTTTATGTGGACAATGGGAACTTTGGATTTTACCAAACAAATCCCATGAGGATGCACAGTCATTCTTAATCCACTACACCAATTATTCTAGGAAGGCCCCTAAGGTGGGAGACTGCCTCAGGTGTGGGCGAGATCAACAGTTCTGATATGGAGCAGGGGAGAAGGCAGGCAGACAGTGATGGCTTTGGGACTCCAGGAATGGAGGCAGAATGCGTACCAGCCTTTTCCAACATCAGCTCTGTGTTTCAGTGTCATGAAGCGTGCATCACCATCTACAGCAGCATGAGTAATAAGAAGCTCTCCCACTGGATTGTGGTGTCTGTCATGTCCATGCTGTTCTGTTTGCTTATATATTCCCTGACAGGTAAGCAAGCTCCTTTCTACTTGCTCCATCTCCTGGTACCATTTTGTACCAAGCTCTTAATTTGTTTAGGGCCCTTCGTGGCATAGGTGAGAGGAAGTTTTTTTCCAGAGCAGGAGCAATGATGTCTGCTGGACCACCAGGCTTACAGACAGATTCTCCTGAGTCTGGCCAGTGAACAAGGTGATGATGAAGCTTTTCAAGTTTGTTTGTGACAGGTTATCATTGAAGAAGTTGGAAAATGAGGGCAATGGCCAAGTTACCAGGGCTGGCTACTTTCTTTTGTCTCTGATGGGCTTCCTACTTTGTGCTAGCATTTAAAATTGTGGTAACACTTATTCATAACATTTCAGGGATTTCTAATTAAAAGCTAAAGGTTGCATTTTAGCCACCTGAAGATCTTTAGTCAAAGCTCAATGTATGGAACCTAGGCAGTCTGAAGCACCACTGAGTTCCAAGGAGCTTGCCCCCAGGAAAGTATGCATCAGGTTGCAGTGATACTGACCCTTATAAATTGAATCGTAGAATTGTAGAGTTGGAAGGGATCCTGAGGGTCATCTAGTCCAACCCCCTGCAATACAAGAATCTCAACTGATGGCCGTCCAGCCTTTATTGTTGTGCTTTGTGGTGTTCCTCTTTGGTGTGTGTAATGAATCGATTCTGCTGCCTGCCTGTTTTGGACTGTCCTTGCTGCTGTGACTAGGGACTTTGCCGGGGATGAAATTCTGGAGACCCTTGTGGTGAGCTAGCTTAAAATTTTTTCCATTCCGCCACTGCTTGAAGCAGTTCTATCTATCTATCTATCTATCTATCTATCTATCTATCTATCTGCATGGTGCAATGCAGCGGTGTGGCAGGCGGTGGTGCTGCGGTGCTGTGTGTGGTGGTCAGCTCAGTGGGATCCCACCTTTGTCGCCAGTGAAATATACTCGGAGTCGAGTGTGAATTTCATGCTCTTTATTCAGCTCGTAGTAGCAATGAATGAAACTTTCCCCAAAACATCTAGCTATATATACATTATTTACACAATGGGCCCCGCGTGATTGGCTAATTCTGGGCTGCTCCTGCAAGCCAATCAGGTCGCTAATTCATTTCCATCTGGAGCTGGATTGGGTGGCTCCTGCGGACCAATCAGACTGCTCCATTCTGGATCCTATTGTTCTAGGATTCAGCTCAGTACATAACTCTATATCTATCTATCTATATCTATCTATCTATATCTATCTATCTATCTATCTATCTATCTATCTATCTATCTATCTATCTATCATCTATCTATCTATCTATCTATCTATCTATCTATCATCATCTATCTATATCTATCTCATAACTCTGTTCTCTTATTGTGTGAAGGGACTCACAGAACCTTCCAGCTACCTGCAGGCCCTTCAGCAAGCAAGGGCAACTTAATCTAGAGTCGAGAGATCACAGGGCTAATAGCAAACACATGATATACACAGTTGGTTGTTTTGATTGAGATCCAAGAATGGCAACATTGGGGGGAGGGGAGGGCAGGAACCCCCCCCCCAGTGTGTTAGTTTAGATAGGCTGCTTTCTTCCTGCTTCTTTCCAAATTAGTGTCCAGTAGATGACTTCCCTTCCCCTTAGGAATTTCTGGCAGGTACATGACCCTGTAGATGGTTTGTTCTTTATGTTTGGTTCAATGCCTGACATATTGAATTGGTTTTGCTGTATTTCCCCCTTTTGTATTAACATCACATTCTCTGGGTTTGTGTGTGTGTGGGGGGGGCTTTCGGGCCAAAAGCAGCATATAAATAATTTAAATAAATAATAAACAGCAGAGGTGGCCCTCCAGATGCTGTGGGATTCCAACTCTCACCAGCCCCAAAAGTCAGGGGTGGCAGGAGACATACTTGGGCAACATCTGGAGGGACCCAGGTTAGCCTACTATGAAGGCTGCTGGTTCAGTCATTTTTGAGTTGGGGAGGGGGTGTTGGTGAGAGGGTGCAGCATGGTCTGCAGTTTATTTTGCTCTCCTTACCACACCTAAAGAGCACAATGCTCTGCTCCTCTGTGTAGGGCTCTATGGCTATTTGACATTTGGTGCTGATGTTGCTGCTGACATCCTGATGTCCTACCCAGGAAATGATTTGCTGGTCATTGTAGCTCGGCTGTTGTTTGGCATCTCCATAATCACCATCTACCCCATTGTCCTCCTCTTGGGAAGGTAAGGAGCAGAAGTGTTGCTTTTCCTATGCTTTGACCCTGACGGAAATGCTGTTCTGCTTAATGAGGACTGTCATTGTGTGTAGCTCCTCTGGTCAGAAGCATAGCCTGATTTCCTCTGGGAACAGGCTCATTTTTCTCAAGCATAACCATATTTATAATACAGCATATCTGCTTTAGAATGAAATCCAACCTGTTGCGCCAAAACCATTTATGGCTTAAATTAATGGTATTTTACTCCATTTTATATCCTTCCTTTCTTCTGAGGAGCCCAAAGTTCAGGGCTGCCTCCTTGGCCCATCCCTTTCCTCCTCAAACCACACCATTTTTCTTGCCCCCACCCATTTGAACTAAATTACATTTTGATAAATACAGCAACCCCTTATTCCCAAAGAAAAACACATATAGTAAATTACTGCACAATCCTAACCATGTCTACTCGGAAGGTATTCCTCCTGAATTTAATGGAATTTACTCCCTGGCGAATCAGTTTAGGATTGCAACTTCAGTCCTATATATCCTATATCTACTTGGCTTGGGAGTAAGTCCCACTGAACTCATTGGGACTAATTTCTGAGTAGATATATATGTAGGATTACACTGTCAGAGGTGGAACCTAAGAGATATAGAACTTTGAGGTAAACAGAAAATGCACATTTCAAAAGCAATCCACCAGAATAAATTCTATCTCCTCTTCCTGTGATTATAAATGTAGTCTTATTTCCATGTGTTACAACAAAGAAGAAAAGTTACTCATGGAACATACAATGGTACCTCGGGTTAAGAACTTAATTCGTTCTGGAGGTCCGTTCTTAACCTGAAACTGTTCTTAACCTGAGGTACCACTTTAGCTCATGGGGCCTCCCGCTACTGCTGCGTTGCTGCTGCACGATTTCTGTTCTCATCCTGAAGAAAAGTTCTTAACCCAAGGTAATATTTCTGGGTTAGCGGAGTCTGTAACCTGAAGCGTATGTAACCTGAAGCGTATGTAACCAGAGGTACCACTGTATGGATCAACATTCAACTCCCTTGCCATGTCCATTGTTCCAAATATGTATTATCCCTCTGCCACTGAACCATGGCCCTTTCCAATCTAGGGAAAGTTCCCCCTCTTCCACCAACTGAACCAGCCACTTCCGTAAAGTAGAATCCTGTTGTTGTGGTGTTGTTGTTGTTGTGTGTAATTGCCCATATGTCTATGCTAGGTCAGTCCTACAGGACGTCTGCCTGAGTTCCAAGCACAGCTACCTTCTGACAACTGAGCCTTACGAGAAGTGGATGCGGGTCACTCTCACTACTGCCTGGGTTGTGGTCACACTGGTCATTGCCCTCTTTGTGCCAGACATCAGTGACGTCATCAGTGTCATTGGGGGCATCAGCGCATTCTTCATCTTCATTTTTCCAGGTATGACCATGTTGTGTGCTCTCTGAGGTAAGAGAGGGTGAGGGATCTGCATAACAATGGCTGATCTTTTAGCCCCTCAAAAAGAGGCAAGCTGGATCAGACCAAAGGCCCATCATCTGGCATCCTGTTCTCACAGTGGCCAACTGAAGGTCGGTGAAAAGCTTGCAAGTAGGTCTTGAATGCAGCAGCAAACTCCCCACTTGTTCACCCGAGACTCCAAGAATTGGTGTCACCATTGCTCTTGGCCAGCTATCCTCCATTTTTCTCAGGGAAATTGATTTTTCTCCTCCCCAATCCTAATCATCTAGAAAAAGTTTGTGGGTTGATGAAAGTTTTTGCTTTTTTGCCGCCTCCTCCTTGTCCTCCTGGCAAAGTCCTCAGTGATGGATTTAATTATCAAGCAGTCTTCCTAGGAGCAAACTTCTTTTTCAAGTGAGATTTCTTTTTTGGTGCCTTGATTATCACAACGAAAGGTTTTGACCAGAGCTTTGTACTTGAGAAGGAAACTGATCAAAGTTCTGTTTCACAGCAACCCAGATTTTCTACCAGAAGAAGCTAAACTCGACTGCTTATGTAAACAGCAAGCTAAACACTGTTGCACACCAGCTTTAAAAATAATAATAATGGAAAACTGCTTCTGCTAGTCATGGGGGAAAGGTGTGGTCATGTGTGAGGTCTTGGTCACTGCAGTTCCTACTAGAGCCCTCTTCTCCCCCTGCCCCTCTTCCCTACCTCTCAATTCTTCTGTGGCTTCATTTGGAATTGGCATTTGTAATAATTTATTGGCAGCAGTAAAGACTAGAAGTTTGGGTGCGCATGTACTTTAAAAGAAAGAGAAGATGTGAAGTTGCAAAAGTTTGTGTTTACTTGGTATTGGAATAATCATCATAATCATAATATAATTTTATTTTTTGTACCCCACTCCCATCTGACTGGGTTTCCCCAGCCACTCTGAGCTGCTTCCTACATGAAAATATAATAAAACATTAAACAAATTCCCTGTACAGGGCTGCTTTCAGATGTCTCCTCAAGGTTGTACAGTTACTTATCTCCTTCACATCTGATGGGAATGCAAACTTGTTCAACTTATAATACTTTCCGTTCAGTTTGCAGTGCTCCTGAAGTTCTTATCTGGCTTAGATTTGAACTCCATGTCAAGGAGCCTGGGAAATGTAGTTTGCCAGGTCTCACGAGTCATTAGGAAAGACAAGCTGGAAACTAGATGCTTCATGACTGCTCATGTCAGTGATGCTGTGAGGGGGATCTGAATTTCTGGAATTTGACTCGCCCCTGCTTTCTTTTTCTTTTTTTTGGAGGGAGAGAACTGGCTGCTGTTTTTGGAAAATAGCCCATCTTGCTGACCCATATGCTAAATCAAGCTGAGGAGCGTTTGGCAATGACTAGATGGCATTGTTAAAGCAGTCAATGTCACATTCCGTACTTGCAACCCTGGGAACCAGACATGGTTAAGCTGCCTTAGAGAGGAATATTCGGAAGATAAACAGGATTTGATTAAATGCAAAATAAACATCCATTTTGTTTTATCTAATTTCTATTCTGCCCTTCAATGCACAGTGATCGGAGCAGTCTATAGTATTTTAGATATTATATCCGACCTTTTTTTTATATATATAAGATATTTATTAAGGTTTTTTGAAATATTACAGTGAAAATGAAAAAGAAAAAAGAAAAATACAAAATAAAAACAGTTAAAAACACACATATTTTCTATTACTTATTTTCCTTTAGCTTGTTTCCCGGACCTCCTCGTACCTCCCTTTTTTGTATTCCACTTCAATTTATTGGTTCAGCAAATCCTTGCCATTAGATTTTAACCCATTTATAACCCTTTTTTATATTCTCTTAAAGCATTACAGCTGGAAACCGCTTAATTACTATCCAACATCATTCTATCATTCATTAATTTTACAATATTTCTGTAAATAGTCTTTAAATTTCTTCCAATCTTCTTCCACCGACTCTTCTCCCTGGTCTCGGATTCTGCCAGTCATTTCTGCCAATTCCATATAGTCCATCACCTTCATCTGCCATTCTTCCAAAGTGGGTAGATCTTGTGTCTTCCAATACTTTGCAATGAGTATTCTTGCTGCTGTTGTAGCATACATAAAAAAGTTCTGTCCTTCTTTGGCACCAATTGGCCGACAATGCCCAGAAGAAAGGCCTCTGGTTTCTTCAAGAAGGTATATTTAAATACCTTTTTCAGTTCATTATATATCATTTCCCAGAAAGCCTTAATCCTTGGGCACGTCCACCAAAGGTGAAAGAATGTACCTTCAGTTTCTTTACATTTCCAGCATTTATTGTCGGGCAAATGATAGATTTTTGCAAGCTTGACTGGGGTCATGTACCACCTGTATATCATTTTCATAATATTCTCTCTTAGGGCCTTACATGCCGTAAACTTCATACCTGTGGTCCATAACTGTTCCCAGTCAGCAAACATAATATTATGTCCAACATCTTGTGCCCATTTAATCATAGCAGATTTCACCGTTTCATCCTGAGTATTCCATTTCAACAGCAAGTTATACATTCTTGACAAATTCTTAGTTTTGGGTTCTAACAGTTCTGTTTCTAGTTTTGATTTTTCCACCTGGAAGCCAATTTTCTTATCCAAATTATATGCCTCCATTATCTGATAATAATGAAGCCAATCTCTCACTTTGTTTTTAGTTTCTCGAAACTCTGCAATTTCAATTTGTCTCCTTCTTGTTCCAAAATTTCCCAATATTTCGGCCATTTGGCCTCCATATTGAGCCTTTTCAGAGCTTTCGCTTCCATCGGTGACAACCACCTTGGGGTTTTATTTTCCAATAAATCCTTGTATCTTATCCAAACATTAAACAGTGCTTTCCTGACAATATGATTTTTAAATGCTTTATGTGCTTTGACCTTATCATACCATAAATATGCATGCCATCCAAATACGTTGTTAAAACCTTCTAAATCCAAAATGTCTGTATTTTCAAGAAGTAGCCATTCTTTCAACCAGCAAAAGCTGCTGATTCATAATAAAGTTTAAAGTCTGGCAGGGCAAATCCACCTCTTTCCTTTGCATCAGTTAATATCTTAAATTTTATTCTGGGCTTCTTGCCCTGCCAGACAAATCTAGAAATATCTCTCTGCCACTTCTTGAAACAGTCCATCTTGTCCACAATTTGCAATGTCTGAAACAAAAACAACATTCTAGGCAATACATTCATTTTTATCACAGCAATACGACCCAACAGTGAAAGCTTCAAATTTGACCAGATTTCTAAATCTTCTTTCACTTCCGTCCAACATTTTTCATAATTATCTTTAAATAAGTTCCCATTTTTGGCTGTCATATTAATCCCCAGGTATTTCACTTTCTTAACCACAGTCAGGCCTGTCTCATTCTGAAACCTCTCTCTTTCAATCAGTGTTAAATTTTTCTCTAAAACCTTAGTTTTTAGCTTGTTCAATTTAAATCCTGCCACTTGACCAAATTCTTGAATTAATTCTAAAACCCTTTTAGTACTAGATTCTGGCTCCTGTAACGTCAATACTAAGTCATCTGCAAATGCTCTCAGTTTGTACTGTTTGGCTCCGACCTGTATACCTTTAACCAACCGGTCCCTTCTAATCATATTCAGCAGAACCTCCAGGACCGATATAAAAAGCAGTGGGGAGATTGGGCACCCCTGTCGTGTCCCTTTTTCTATCTTAAATTCTTCCGTCACCACATTATTTACAATTAATTTAGCCTTTTGTTCAGAGTATATTGCACCTATACCATTTTCAAAACCTTGGCCTACCCCCATCCCCTGTAGGTTCTTCTTCATGAAGCTCCAAGAGATATTGTCAAAAGCTTTCTCCGCATCCACAAATATCAGAACTGCTTTAGTGTTTATATTCACTTCTAGTTTTTCCAAAATATCAATTATATTCCTCAAATTATCAGACAAGTGTCTTCCCGGGAGAAAGCCCGCTTGGTCTTTATGAATCTCTTCCATCAATACTTTTTTCAATCTCTTGGCCAAAATGTCTGCAAAAATTTTGTAATCCACATTAAGTAACGATATAGGGCGGTAGTTCTTAAGCTGAGTCTTTTCAGTCTCTGTTTTAGGTATAAGTGTAATGTACGCCTCTTTCCACGACTCTGGTGCCCTTTTCCCTTCCAAAATTTCATTGCAGACTTCCTTCAAAGGTTGCAATAGCCACTCTTTCAAGGATCTATAATATCTAGAAGTCAGCCCATCCGGTCCTGGAGATTTGCCCAATTGCATGTTTTGAATGGCACCTTCCACTTCCTGTTCAGATATTTTATAGTTCAGCATTAATTTACTTTCTTGAGAAATTTTTTGTAATCCATTTGTCTTCAAGAATCGGTCTATGTCCATTTCTTTCTGTGGCCCTTGCGTGTATAATTGTTTAAAGTACCTCTGGAAACAGTTTCTAATCTCAATTGGGTTGTGTATATTCTTTCCTTCCACTTCTAAGTTTGTAATAGTATTTAATTTTTGTCTTTTTTTCATTTGCCAGGCCAACAATTTCCCACATTTATTAGCTGATTCAAATGTTTTTGTCTCATTTGTTTAATTTTCCATTCTATTTCCTGATTCATCATTTTCATATATTGTACTTGATATAATTTTATTTCTCTCAGAATCTCCTGCGACTTTGGTTTTGCTCTCAATTTCTTCTCACTTTCTTTTATTTTCTCCAAAATTTTATCTTTCTTCTCATTCTGACTTCTCTTCTTTATTGCATTCTGTTGTATCAGAAACCCTCTCATGACCGCTTTGCTTGCGTCCCAGATTACTCTTTTTCTACATTGGTGTTCATATTTATTTCAAAATAGTCTCTCAAAGTTTTTTGGGCCTTTTTATATACTTCTTCATCTCTAAATAAGGTGTCATTCATCCTCCATCTGAAGGATCCGGTTGATATTTGTTTCATCTCCATCCTTACAGCGTTATGGTCGGAGCAGGTTTTTGGGCAGATTTCTACTTTCTTTATCTTTGGTGCCATTCCTCTAGTTATCCATATTTGGTCAATTCTAGTCCATGTCATCTTGGCTTCAGAAAAGAAGGTTCCCTCTCTTCCCAAAGGGTTCTTTACTCTCCAGATATCCACTAAGTCTATATTGTCTGTCATCTCAAAAAAATGTTTTCGGGAGTCTACCATCCTTGGTAACTACCTGTCTTTGTACCTTATCCATGTTTGTAGATACTACTCCATTCATGTCCCCCATCAAAATCAAATTGTAATCCAAATAGTCCAGTAAGGTCTCGTGCAACTTTTTAAAGAATTCAGATTTCCCCTCATTCGGTGCATAAATTCCTACTATCAAGAATTTCTCTCCTTGAACTTGAATTTCAATTGCCAAAAATCTTCCTTGGTCATCTTTAAAAATTAATTTCGGTGATAGTCTCTCCTTTGCATATATTACAACTCCTCTTTTTTAACTTTGTCGGATGAGATAAACTCCCGTCCCAATCTTTTATTAATCAGTAGTTTCCTGTGTAGCCTTGTTATATGTGTTTCTTGTAAACAAATCAAGTCCAATTGTTCCTTTTTAGTAGATGAAAAACACTTTTTCTCTTTCGAGGAGTTCAAACCATTACAATTCCAGCTTAACAGTTGCAGAGCCATGATGGGGTTACTTCACTTTACCTCCAACTGCACCAAGTGTCTGTTCTTGTTCTGTAGATGGTGTCTCTTTCTCTGGGCCGTGCAATCCAAAAGATAAGTTTGCTATGTCTAGTATGCCTTTTGGCTCTTCTCCAGATTCCGCTTCTTTCTGTAGGTCTTCTTCGTGATCTTTCAAGAACCTGTCCTTATCATTAACTGATCTTATTTTTATCTTTCTTCCTTTGTATTTAAAGGATAGGCCTTGAGGAAATTCCCACCTGAAAAGAATTCTATTTCTTTTCAACAGGGCAACTAGGTCTCCGTAGTTAAACCTTAAGTCCAAAAGATGTTTTGGAATGTCCTTAAATATCACCACACTTGAGTCGTAAATTTCCAAAGTCTTTTGATAGTGCAAATTCAAAATTTTGTCTCTCTCTTCTTTTGTTCGAAGGGTAATCAAGCAGTCCCTCACCTTGTTCCTGCTTTGTCCTCTTCCAAGTCTAAATGCATTCACTATCTTAAATTCTTCCTTCCCCAAGTCCTGTTGCCAAAAATCTGTAAATTCCTGTGTAAGAAAGTCAGCCAGGTTATCTTTCTCCTGTTCTGGTACGGCCCTGATTCTTAAATTTCTTTGTCTCTCTTTCAATTCAATCATAGACAATGTCAAATCGTGGTCCCCCAATTTCTTATATACTGGTGGTATCTTCTCTTGAAAAGCAGTGTATCCAACCTTTTCTTCCAAGGAGCTCACACAGTTCTCCCCATCCTCCTCCCACATCCTACCTGTGAGGTAGGTTATGCTCCAGGGTCAACCAGTTAGAGCTTCCGGGCTCCCTGGTCCTAGACCCACTTCACCACACTGACCCTCAATTGTTAATAATTACGGTTGATTAATTGATTGTAATTATTATTAGTGATAACAAATGCAAAGTGATTTCTCTTGTGTTGCAGGACTGTGTTTGGTGTGTGCAGTGGAGATGGAGCCTATCAAGCCAAGGACCAAGTATGTCTGTACCTTCCCAGCCCCCTTTGCTTGCTGTGATTTTATGATTCTATGAATATGAGCTGTTCGTGGCCAAGGGCAGGCATCCCCAGTCTGTACCCGGCAGAGCTTTTAGACTTTAGCTCCCATCTTTGGGGATGCTGGTTGGGGCTGATGGGAGTTGGAGAGCAAAGCTGACACACTGTGTGCCACGCGGGACTCCCTGAAATTCATAGGCCCGGCTGTGGCCTGCCCATCATAACTGGCTTTTTGCCGGCAGTTATTTCTATGACTGTGAAAAAGGTAACACAGCTTGGCATTTTTCCCCCCTCCCACCCTTTGGCAGGTCTTGCTTAATTACATGGGGAATTGTCACCGTCCTTTGTGGAGCCTTCATCTTTGGACAAAGCACGACGATCGCTCTCATGGAACTGTTATACAAAGTCTAGTCGACCGGTGGAGGCAGTTGCGATGGTAGCAGATGACAGAGACTGTCTTGATACTTGCACAGCCTGATGGGTATTTCCAAGTGATATGGGCAAGTACTATGCAGCTTTTACCAGCTGGGCATAATTTCAATAATAGCCACTTTTTCGCTATCTAATATAGGTATGTGTTGGTTGTGCTTTTCCATACATTGAATGCCCCCTCCTCCTCCCCTGCGGACTGTTGGATAGGACCCGTTTTTTCTAGCAAATGCTCCTTGGTTGTCTGTTGTAGTGCAGATTTTCATTGATGTTTCAAACCACAGAAAGCTGTTGGATTTCTCCCAAAGCTGCTCGTCGCACAAAGTTACTTAGATGTATACGAAGTACAGAGGACTCTTGAGAAAACATTAAGCTTTCCATAAAAGACATTCTGCCGCTTCTGCTCTCCATTTCACTCCTCCTCCTCTTAGGAATGTTCTTAAAAGGGCTTTGGATTTCTAGGGTTTTCCCCAACCCACACCCCCTAAATGAGGCTCTGGGAAAAATGAGGCTCTGGGAAAGAAATTTATCTATTAGGATAGCATCCAAAAGTTCTGTGGATGTGTGAAACGGGGATTGTTGTTTGTTTATTTTTCAGTAACTGTCAGGAGCATTGTTTTCACTTAGTGTGCATGCTTAAAATATATCACCAATGTATGGGTGCTAGAATGCCAGGTTGTTGAGCTGCGCCATTTTATACACTGCTGCAAGAGACCTCAGAACGTGTTTAGGAGTCCTTTGTTGCTGAGCCAAGGAAGATGACACGGGTGGGGTCAGTGCAGTATAGTTGGCAGCTGGGGAGCTGGTTTTGTACCTGATCCTTCGAGTGGCTCCACCACCTTAGATGGTCCAGGCTTTGCCACTGTGGCCCAAACCAGGTACCCGAAGTTTTGAAATAAAAAATTGGCCATTTCTTTTGTAAACCTGTCTAGAAGAGGCTCTCCTGCCCCTTTTAGGCTTTGGTGTCTTATCTTGCAGAAAGGAACTGCTAACTTCTTTTTTATGGGTTGTTCTTGCCAAACACTTGTCAATGAAGGCCTGAAAATGAGGATGAATCCAAAACATTGTGCCATTGGAGAAAAGGCTGGCTTTGCATCTCAAATGTGAATCTAAAAACTCACCCCCGAAGCTTGGGGCACTTAATATATTTCCCTCTCAGTATGCTACACACTTTCAGATGGGTAGAGCATTAAAGGTCACCATGGTTTCCTTCTCCATGTACGTGGCTGGGTTGCTTGGAGGTCAGCAGGGTTCAGGACCAGGGCCAGCCAAGGCATCTTGGAGCCCCAAAGTTGTTGTTGCTTCTGTAGTACTGACCCCATCCAACCGAGTTCCTCTCCCTTGTCGGCTCATTTGCTTTCCTCCCTGCAAACCATGGCAACTGTTGCCATGCTATATATACTTAAAAACATTAGAAGAGACTAGCTGGATGGGATAGAGGACAATCTTAGTTAGCAAACTGTTCCCAAAATGGCTTACCATTGGAATCTCCTTTCTTGTAACTTGAATCCATTGTTTTGGGTCCTACCCTCTGGAACAGGAGAACAAGCTTGCTCCATCTTTCATGTGACAGCCCTTTAGATATTTGTTCCTCATAAGGAACCGTTGCCCTCCTCTTGTCAATGGCCTCCTTAGATTATGGTGCCAAGAGCTGGACACAGTATTCCGGGTGTGGTTTAGCCAAGGCAGAATAGAGCGAGACTATTACTTCCCTTGATCTGGACACTATACTTTTGTTGATGCAGCCTAGAATAGCATTAGCTTTTTTTTTTGCTGCTGCATCACACTGTTGACTCATGTTAAGCTTGTGGTCTACTAAGACTTCTAGATGATTTTCACACATATTGCTGGCAACTCAGCTGTTCCCATCTTATATTTGTGCAGCTGGTTCTTCCTGCCTCACCATAGTGGGGAAGACTGACCTGCCCAGGTGTGGACTGTTGATGAAAACTGCAGAGGTCCCCCCTTTTCCATCTTAGGGTTCTTTATCTTTAAACTGGTCTTGGATCAGTTGGCCTTTCAAACAGAGGACTGCCCTCTGTTGCGTAGGATAGATGGGCTCCCCAGTCTGAAATGATGTGTGGTCTTAAGGGCAGGTGAAAACAATGAGGGTTCTACGCAGAATGCAATTTTTTATCTCTTAAATTTTATTTGGTTATCTGCACTTAAGTCATATACAATAGCGCATAATAGATATGTATATAATAGTAAAATTGCTTATATGTTGGCTAATACTGACATCCTGCAGTGTGCTACACTTTAGAGCTATATAATAATCTTATTTCTAAAACGGTACATGTAAACTATCAAAGGTTATAGTCAAAAGTGAAGATAAGTAAGCTTGCTTCCTGAAGATTTTATTATTTATTTAAATTTTGCCTGCTTCAATCCCGGTTAGAAATGGTTCTTTCAAAAAAGAAAAGAAGTATGTTTAAGTTAGTGAAGTAACTCGGTGCTGCTACTTACAGCTAAAAATAAAAATAAATCTAAGTACATTGAGGCTTTTTTATTATTCATGCACTGGCATTAAAGTGAAGGCAACAGAGGGAAAACCAAAAGGATGGGGATAGGGAAAAATCTGAAATGAAAGGGAACTTTATGGGTCTCCCATACTATGTATGTCAATCATTTCCTTGCACCCTGGATATGATAGCTTGTCTTGGGTGGGCTTATGCCAAGAACATCTGGCAGAAAAATCTTGGCACCACCACCAATATGGTTCCCAAAATTCTGTGGGAAGCCATGATGGCTATTAGTGCTATAAAACAGATGCTACTTATGCTATAGAGAGACCAGCCTTCCCTAATCTGGTACCCTCCAGGTGTTCTGAACTACAGCTCCATCCGCCCAGCTCGATCTTCTGAGAGAATGCCAGAACATTTTCCCTTTGCCATCCAGAAACCCTGTCGGTAAGGACATTTATGTGCAAGGCAGTTTTTTCCGAGGTTATTTTTTCCCTTATCAGAAAATCTGTAGGTTTCAGTTTCTCTTGTTTGTCTTTTTTCCAGAAGTGGTATTGCTGTCATATTTGGACTATTTTAGTGTTTGGGTTAGTGATATGACTACGTATTTGTGTGGAGAACTGAAGCTTAGTGGTAGGACACCTGCTTGGCATGCAGAAGGAACCCCATCCCTTCCACATAATTCTGGGGAAGAATCTTGCCTGAAACCCCAGAAAGCTGTTGCCAGCCAGTGTAAGCAATGCTGAGCTAGGCTGACGCCTGACTCAGTCTGAGGCAGCTTCCCATGGTAAAAAACCCAAACCTCTCAATTTTTCATGGAGGAAAAGGTATTTCAATTCTTTGTGCAAAGGCCCCACAAATGCTATTGTCACTCGTTTGCTGCCTGTGTGCTAGTGGGGAACAATCTGGTGTGTTGGATCTGCGGTACTGGGAGGCAGAGAGAACCCCTTTGCAGAAATGCATTCTGCACCAGTTTCTACCAACAAGATGACTACTGTAAAAGTTAAATGGCCATTTTCCTCACCTCTGGTTGATTTCTGCCTCCCCACATGCCAAGTGCAGAACTAGCAGTAAGGTGCACATGGGGCAATTCCTGCAGGAGTTGCAGAACTCTCCCTACACCCCTTTCCCCCCATTTGGCTTCAAGAATAAAAATGTGCCTGGCTTGAGGGGGGAAACCACCAGGCGGTCAGGGTCACAGGAAGTAAACAGTTAATAAGGGAAGCAGTGGGCATCCTCTTTCCTTTTGGCAATTCCCCCCCCCCCCACACATACTCTAGAGCGGCTTCCTTCTGTTCAATTTACTGAACGGGGCATTAGTTTGAAAACACAGCCCATGCATGAAAGTGGCATACAGGATGCCCACCCAGGAGAAACTTTCAATTTATCAACATCCTTTAACAGCAGTTGTATACTACTGATAGCGGTACCTTGCAGACTGGTGTTGGCTGCAATAAATGGCAGAGAGCTTTGAGCTCAGAAGGGGAAATGTGTGCCTGGCAGGAAGTTAGGCTTTTGGTTTTGGCTTGTTTTGTTTTTCCTTCACTTCAGATAGCAAGCAAGTAAATAACAGTTCCAGGTAGAAATGTTTTTGGGAGGGCGTGGGGGGGGGAGGGGAGAAAGACAACACCTCTTAACAAAGTCGTTAGAAAAGACAGGAGTTTTGTTCTCTGCAAAACAGCGGAAACTTCCAAGAGTGCCTGGTGAAGAGGGAACAATGCCAGCCTTCCCTGATCAGTCTTGGTTGAGGGTGCACCAAGCAGCTGCAAAGGGGGAAAAGAGGTTTTATATTTGTGATGAAACAAAACAAAACAAAAAGACCCAACCCTAAACTCTACTTGTGTTAATGGACTTTTTCTTTTATACGTCCTTCCTTATCTGACTCACAGAAAGCATACCTTTGTGTTAGTGAGTGGCAGGCCTGTGCCAAGGACCAGTATGAGGGCCACAGCATGATGGCGGCTTCACTCGGGTGAAACTGCTGCTGCTCCTCTCTCTCTCTGGCCCTTGCAGAGGGAGGAACAACCTGCATTGGTAATGTACCTGGACCAAAGCAGCATGGTCCTCCTTCAGTGTGGGCAGGCGGCTTCTTTAAACTGCTCTGCTGAGGGGCATGCAGTTGCCCGAGGCTCAATGGAGCAGTTCAACAAAGCCCCCACCCCCCAGTGTGTGAGCCGGAGGTGAGTTGGGGGCTTCATTAAACAGTTCTACTGAGGCTCAGGTAGAGAGGGAGCCATGACAGGCTCTGTCCACAGGGCTGTCTCTGCTGCTGCCTCTTCCTCCCGGCGCCTTGCAGGGCCAACACAGCTTGTTCCTCCTTTTCAACATTGCAATGTACCACCAGCCAAGCACTGCGATCTGGTGCTACATTGCAGTGTTGAAAACCCGAGCAGGTGGTTGGCTTGGAGTGGAGATTGTGGCATTTAATGCGAGGCAGAAACTCCACTCAGGGGTTCATCTGCTGTGTTATATCATCACACGTGGCAAGCTGCTCAGTGGTAGAGCCTTTGCTTTGCATAC